TTTTGGCTACCATGGATAATACTGCCAGGATTGTTTTCCCCAGAAAACGAATTCTAAGTTGAAGATTTGTCTGAATACAATTTCAACAGGTGTTCATGAGATCACTACTTGTTGGGGAGTGATGGAGGCAGGCTTGGGTAGAAGGACAGATTGAACTGCAGCACAGCTGAAGCTGGGACTGCCCTTCAGAATTGCTCTCTGTGTTAGTTCTATTGCTGTAGAATTAATCACCCCAAAAATTAGCGGCTTAAAAGAACCATGACCCTTTATTATCTTTCATGGTTTTCCTGGGTCCAGAATTTAGAAGCAGCATTCCTGGGTAGTTCTGGATTAGGATCTTTCATGAAGTTGCCCTCAGCTGGTGGCTGAAGCTGGGGTCATCTTAAAGCCTTCTTCACTCATGTGTGGGGCCTTGGCTGGAAGACTCAAAAAGTTGGAACAGCTGAAGCTGTTCAGGCTTCTCTCTGTATCTCTGTGTAGTTTCTCCCCTTGATATCTCCAGCATGGAGGCTTCTGAGCAGCCAGGTTTCTTCAATGTCGCCTGTAGGCATGAGTCTCCCAAGGTGCATGCATATCCTGAGTGAGGGAGAGCTGGGTGGAAGCCAAACCACGTTTTATGATTGTCTAGCCTGGAAGTCACACAACATCAATTCTCCCACTCTGTTAGTTGAGGCAGATACAAAAGCCCACTTGATGTGAGGAGAGGGAACATAAAGCCCACCTGTCAGTGGAAAAGGTTCATCATCATTATAAGAAGGGCAAATGAGATGGGATACAGAGTGCAACTGTCTTTGGAAAATACACTCTTGGGGGTATTGAGGCTGGGAGATGAGACTTTATTCCCTGGCACTGACCAGGCATGGCATGTGTCACAAGGATCTTGGATGAGCTGACTCACTTTAGTTGAGGACATTTTCTAGAAAAGGACTCAGCTAAGCGTCAACATTCCCAAAAGCTGGAGGAATGAGTGCTTCAGTCCTAAAGGGGAGGATCCAGGTGGCATACAATAGCATCCACTGCAGGTGCTGGAAACATTCTTGTACAAGTCTCTTTGTGGACCGTATTTCCACTTATTTTGCATATGTGTCTAGGAGTGGAATTTCTGTGTCAAAGGTAGGTGTATCTTTAGCTTTGTAAGAGACTGCAAAACAGCTTTCCAAAATGGTTGTACCATTTGAAATTCCCAGTAGCAATTTGCTAGAGTTCCAGTTGTTCCACATCCTCAGCAATGTTTTCATCATCAGTTTTATAAGTTTCAGTCATTCCAGTAGAGTATAAAATATTTCACTGTGGTTTTGATTTACATTTCTCTGATGACTAAGGTGCTGAGCATTTTCATGTGCTTAGTGCCCATCCATGTATCTTCTTTTATGAAGTGTCTATCAAGTCTTTTGCCCATTTAAAAAGTGGATTGTTTGCATTCTTATTAGTAATGTGTATTCTTTGCAATGTATAAATTACAATTCTAATCTACAATTCGATTTACAATTCTATTTACACTTATGGAAACACGTCCCTTGTCAGAAATGTATTGCAAATATTTTCTCCCAGTCTATGGCTTCCGTTTTTACTTTCCTAACATTGCCTTTTGATGAGCAGTAGTTTTTAGTTTTGATTAAATCCAAATTATCAATTGTTTCTTTTACGTTTAGTGTTGTTTGTGTCCTCTTTGAAAAAAATCTTTGTCTTTCCCAAAGTTGCAAAGATATTCTCCTATGTTTTCTTAGAGAAACTTGACAATGTTTGCTTTTAAGTCTGTGGTCCATCTTGACTTGAGTCTTGAGTGTGGTGTGTTTACCCAGTTAGCCTAGTATCATTTGTTGAAAAATCTTCCCTTTTCCAGTTGAATGGCATTGGCATTTTAAAAAAAATCAACTGACTTGATATGTTTTGTCCATTTCTAAACTCTTTATTCTGTGGCATTGGTGTGTCTGTCTGCATGCTGATACCACACTGTCTTGATTGCAAGGCTCTACAGTAAGTCATCAAGTTAGTAATGTGTCATCCAACTCTGCTCTTCTTTTAAAAGTTTGTTTTGACTTTTCCAATCTTTTATATTTCCATAAACTTTTAAAATCAATTTGTCAATTTCTACAAAAAAGATCTTCTGTTTTTGGAGTTTTGGCTGTATCAATTTGGGGAAAATCAACACCTTAGCAACTTTGAGTCTTCCATACATACATAGTCTATACCTCACTTTTATTTAGATCTTTTAAAAATTTCTCTCAATAATGAGGTCTTGCACATAAATTTTGTTAAATTTATTTCCAAAAATTTTATGATTCTTTTTTTCTTTTGATGAAGATTAGCCCTGTGCTAACATCTACCACCAATCCTCCTCTTTTTGCTGAGGAAGACGGGCCCTGAGCTAACATCTGTGCCCATCTTCCTCTACTTTATCTGTGGGACACCTGCTACAGCATGGCTTGACAAGCAGTGCGTAGGTCCACACCCAGGATCTGAACCAGTGAACACTGGGCCGCAGAAGCAGAACGTGCAAACTTAACTGCTCCTCCACCAGGCCAGCTCCAAGTTTATGATTCTTAGGATAATTTAAATGGAAATGATTTTATAATTTTATTTTCCAGTTATTTGCGGCTAATATGTGAAAAGAAATTTGATTTTGTGTATCTATTTTGTATCATGCAACCTTGCTAAATTCACTTATTAATTCTAGTAGCGTTTTTGTTGAGACATCTTAGGATTTTCAATGTATTTAATGATGTCATCTGCAACAAAAGATAGTTCTATTTCCTCCTTTCTTAACTTTATGCTTTTTATTTCTTTTTCTTGCCTACCTATAGCACTGGCTAGCATCTTCAGTACAATGTTGAATGAAAGTGGTTACAGCAATTATATTAAACTCTTTTCCATCAATCTTAGTGGGGAAAGCACTCAATAATACGCTGTTAAGTATGATGTTAATTGTAGGTTCTTCGTAGATGATTTTTTATCAGTTTGAAGAAGTTCCATTTTATCCCTTGTTTGCTGAGAGTTAAAAAAAAATACTTCAGATGCATTTTGCCCCCTGCACTTATTGAAATGATCCTACGGTCTTCCTCCTTTATTCTGTCATATGGTGAATTAAATTAATTGATTTTCTACTGTTAAGCCAACTTTGCACACCTGAGGCAAATCTCACTTGGTCATGATGTATTGTCGGTTTTATATATTGCTGAATTTGATCTGCTACTATTTTTAAAGGATTTTTGCATCTGTGAACACAAGGTTTACTAGTCTATAATTTTCTTTTCTTGTAATGTTTTTGTCAGATGTTGGTATCAGGGTTATCTTGGCGTTAAGCAATGGTTTGGGAAGTTTCTCCCTTTCCCTATTTTCTGAAGGAGTTTCATGGGATTGGTACGATTTCTTCCCTCATTCAGCAGTCAAACTGCCAGGCCTGGTAGCTGGCTGTTTCAGGATTTTCCCCTTATAGCTGAGTTTCAGCGATTTGACCATGATGTGTCTAAGTACAGTTTTCCTTGTATTTATTTTGCTTATGCTTTACTAAGCTTCTTGGATCTATAGGTTAAAGTTCTGAACGAAATTTGATAAAATTTAACCATTATTTCTTCAGATCTTCTCTATCTTCTTCCTTCTCTCTTTCTGGGACTCCAATTGCACATCTGTTGGACTGCTTATCTTGTCCCCTGTGCCCCTGAGCTCTGTGAATTTTTTAAAATCTTTTTTTCACCCCAGATTTGAGGGGAATTTACACACAGACCTTAAGCCTCCCTTCCATATGGCTCCCTCTGTTCTGGGATATCTCCCCTCACTTTCTGGCTGTTGTGGGTAGCTCCAAGCAGTTTCCTTTCATACCTTAATCCACTAAGACTGACTTTCTGCTGGAGTTTCAGCCACTCCTGCTATATAGACTGGGTACTGCCCTTAGTGGAAAGACTGTATACATTTGGAATAGCCCCTCCAGTTTCTGTCTGCTTTTAACTGCTGTCCAATGTGCTCGAGTAGATATTTTTTTACATTTGTCCAAATCTTAAAATTTTCATCTGTGAGACGGATAATACGGTCCAAACTACTCTGTCGTTATTGGAACTGGAAACCTGCCTCTGGTATTCTTAAGCTTAATTTGTTCACCATGCACCCTGTCTTCCAATTTAGAGACCCCAGTGTCCCCAACTCAAAACAATCAGTCACTAAATCCTAAAACTCCTGTCTCAGGCGAGCTTCCTGAATCTACTGACAACTAATTTCCTTAGAGCCACTGCTTGAGATCAGGTCCTCATTTAACTAGTCTTCCTGCCCCCTAGCCTCTGTCACTTTGCATGATGCTTGAGGTATCTTCCTAACAAAATTCCTTATTACGTTACTCCCTTGTTTTAAGACCTCTCTAGGCTCCCACAGGATTAACTCCCCTTGGCCTGGTCTAAAAAGCCCTTCGCAGTCCAGTCTATGCCCTGCTGTTGCTCCACATAGAACCAGTGCTTCTCATATGTTAAACTTTTCCCTGTTCCTCAGACATATTAGAACTTTTCATGTTTTTGTGATTTTGCACTTTGTATCCTGCCTCCATTTTCATCTGACTTTTGTAGATTTAACCTTACAATCTTATTCAAATACCACCTCTTCTGAAAAGTCTTCCCTGGATAGGTTACCTCTGTCCTCAATATCTCTTTTCTGTGTTCTTATATCACTTACAAATCTTCGTGTTGACTTGGTCTGTCTGTCTGTCTATCTATCTATCTACCTAATCATCCATATAATCTCCTGTTTCTCTCAGTAGATTCTAATCTCTTTGGTCAAGGGGTTGTGTATTTCAAATATGGTTTTTTGGTACCTATAACATCTAGTGAGCATTGTACACCTTGTGTAGATTCTCAGTGCATTTGTTGTCTTTGTTGATGATGATACTACAAAGAATATTTCTCAGCAATGGTAGTCAAAGTAGTGGTTTTACATATAGAAATTTAAAGACCACAGACCCAAAAGGAGAAACTAATCAGCCAGTTCATACACTATTCTGTAATTTATTGTTTCTTTAGGAACAACTATCCCCACATCAAGCACCCCTATAGCATTCTGCAGGAATGGTGGAACCTGGGACAACGGCAGATGCATTTGTCCAGAAGACTGGAAAGGCCTGAGATGTACAGTTGGTAAGTTACTTGGGATAATACTAGAGTATGAGGTTTAGGTGACTCTCGAAGCTTCTGTTAATGATTATGGTAACAATGGGCATAATCATGATGGCTGTAAGATGTGTTTGTTAGCTCCATAGTAAAAGCTGAGTTTTCTTCTTGGGCTATTTACCTGTGTGTTCAGTACGCCTCGTCTGTTTCCCAACTATCAAGTTTCTCTGTAAACTCACAGTTGCTTTTCCTTCTGGCTGCAGCATCTACCAAAGGGCAGTGGGGGATATGGTTTTCTCAGGTCCTTTCAATTGGTCATATGCCATATTAACACATTTCAAATTTCACACTTCTAAAACAGTTTTTGAAATCAAGATGCATCTTTCTAACCAAGTATATACTTGGTTAGATGAAGTTTTTGTCTTTTCTTCCTTTCTCTTGAAGAGATGTTGTTAAATTAGTGGTCTGGCTTCAATCAGTGGTACCCCAGAATCAAAGTTCAAAGCCATTTCTTGATCTTCAGTGGGCTTCCCAACACGCTGTGCACTTCATGTTGCCTGCTTAGGATCTGGAGCCCTACAAGCTCACTCCTATCATTTCCTACTCACCTGCCAGCCAGAATATCCCACATGCCCATGACTTTGGCCTTTCTACCTTGACTCACATCCTCATGATGCCCTTTGCCTCTGTAGGCTCTATAGCTGTAATTTTCAAGATTTCAACTAATCTGATACACTATCCTTTCTGATGTGTTAGTGATCACATCCCACTTCTACCAAGTTATATATGGTGCACATTTTAACCGGAATCTGTTATCTAACATAATAGTTATTCCAATGGTAATAACTTAACTAGATAAGAAAGTATGAAGTTCCTGGAAGGCCAGGGAGTCCTATAAGCCTTCTATTACTCTTCAAATTACACTGGATAGGTTTTGTACTTTGACTTTTATCTGGTTTGAAATTTGAAAAAAAAGTATAATTTATGATAAAAAATATTTTTTCTTTCCATTACAGCTAATTTCTGTGAAAATAGTACCTATAAGAGTTTTACTTTTCCCAGAATTTCAGTGGGAAGATATGGACCTTCCTTCCAAACATGTGACAACAGCACTCTAAATGGTATGTACTTTTCCAAACATCTCCTCTGTTAGGCATACAAATTGCTATGCTGGGTCAAACCTATCATCCCTCCAACCAGTATTAGGTCCCTGGAAGAGGCATGAAGGAACGTTTTGGTCCCTTTCATGATGCTGATGTTCAAAATTTAGGGTGTTACTTCACATAATTCTACTTTTCCTGAAAACCTTAATATGGATCAGTTGGAAGTCTTAATCCTTCTTCAAGTGGTTTATTTTTCCAGCTTACTCTATCTCCTGGAGTTTGATCAGGTTAACATCTGCTCTTTGAGTTATATAATTTGTCTCAACTGAAAAAATTAGGTAGACTGTAGATTTATACCATATCTATTTCAGACTTCATCTTTATAGGTAGAGATGCACAGTTAAGTCTGTCCACAGTTGGACATCCTTCAACTCCTTGGTCATTTTAGTTATCCACCTTGGAATATTCTCCAGCTTCATCATACCCTTCTTGAAGCATGACAACCTTGCTTGCTTAGAGGCATTCCAAGAATAAAGGAGCAGATAGTATTTTCTATTTCTAATATGCTCCCTGATGATATCCAAGATTTTGATGACTTCTTTGTCCGTAGTTGTTGGAAAGAAAATCTTCCTTGCAAACTTAAAAGGAAGGAAATAGTTAGCTGGTCTTTTGGATTCCAGACTCAAATGTCAAGACAACAAGTGATATCTGCCTAAAATATTCTTGTAATAGCTGTCTGACTCACTTTGCCATTGCTGTGTATCAAACCACCCCAAACTTAGTGGTTTAAAACAATAATGATGTAAATTTCTCACAGTCTGTGGGTTGACTGTGGCAGCTGGACTGTTTCATGTGGGACATTGGTCCTGGCTGTTGGCTGGAGGGCCTCAGTTCCGCTCGACATGGCTTCTCATCCTCCAGTAGACCAGACCTGCTTCCTTATATGACAGTCTCAGAACAGTGTTCCAGGACGGCAAAGGGGGAAGCTTCAAGGCTCCTTGAGGCCTAGGTTCTGGAACTCACACAGCGTCATTTCTACCATATTCTGTTGGTCAAAGCAAGTTACAAGGCCAGACTAGACCCAGGAAATAGAGGAATAGGCTACACTTCTTGAGGGAAGAGCAGCAAAATGACATTGCAAAGGGGCCTGTGTACAGGAACAGAAGGTTGCTGTGGATGTCTTTATGAATACTGTCCTTTTTCTTTTTTCTTTTTAATAAAGCGGGCAATCCAATGGCAACCCGGCTGTGCAGCCTTAATGAAAATGGAGAGATAGAATTACAAAATGTGACAATAGGAAATTGCAATGAAAATCTGGAAACCCTGGAACAGCAGGTATGCCATGGGGTCCATGAGATGGACAGCTGGAAAAGTTCAGACTCTGCGTGATGTCTCTGTTCTTCAGACACCTCATGGTCAAATTAATGCTTTTTAAAACTCTCAAATTAGAAAAAACCAAAACTAGTGACTAAAATCATTCTTATTTTTTTAAGTTGACATCTGTTTGTGAAATAGGACAGTTGGACATGTTTGTTTGGCAAATTTCAGTGAATGATAACCTACAGCTCATTTTAGATGGCCTCATTCTTTTAGACCAGTGAAGTTTTGAGTGAAAATACATCCCTGACATATGAGACCAAAAAGAAAGTTTTGGTGGTCTACAGTATCAGAATAAAGAAAAAAAGCTATGACCGAAGACCTTTTGAAATAGGAAACTCCAGAACCTGACGCTGGTCTCAGGGCTGTATCCATGAGCAGGTGAAATACGAAATGCATCTGACTAGATAGTTTCTCATGCAGATTAAATTAGTTTGACTAGGGATATATCCAAATGCAAATACATGGAATTCCTAACACCTGAGGCCAAGCATGAGGAGGAAGAGGAAATATCTTTTCGTGGTCTTTCTAGGTGCTGGACATGTTCCATATTTTATCTCATTTAATCCTAATAGAACCTTTGTGAGTTAGATACTATTCCCATATTATAGATAATTATAGCTAATAACACTTCCTAATTATTGAGCACTTACTGATGTCAAATACTGTGCTGACCATTATACATACATTATTTTATCATATTTAATTCTTATAACAACTATGTAGATAGGTGTTAATGTACCGCTTTATAGATGAAGAATCTGTGGGTCTGAGAGGTGCAGTATTTTGCTCAGTGAATCACAGCCAGAAAGTGATGGAGCTGCTCCTGGTTGTAAAGTCCACACTGTGCCACACTGGCTCCCTAATCATAGATGGGCCGGGGTGGGGGTGGGAACGGGGATGTAGTGGGGTGTGGAGGTGGCTGCCAACCACCTTGGTTGTGCCAACCAACACAGATTGCAGGAAAGAGTTCATGTTCTGGAGTCTGACAAGCCAGGGTTTGACTCTCAGCTCAGCCACTTCCCAGCTGCGTGAACTTTGAGCGAGCTCCTTATCCTCCCCAAGACTTTAACTAGACATGAGGATGCTCAACGCACAATGTGGTTTTGCAGATGGAACGTGGTAACTCCTGCGAAACATCTAGTGCAGCGCCCAGCACATAGCAGGGACCTGGCTATTGAACGAGAGCATTGTTTCTGTCTGCTGATGGGTATTGCTTCTGACTCTTCCCTGAAGAGCCTGTGATCTGGTTTGATTTTTGAAATGATGCTGCCATCTAGTGAAAAACTAAGCCACACACGCACACGCGCACACATACATGCTGACACCTGGCTCCACTAAAGACGATGTGAACTAACGTTTAGCCACACAGCACAGAGCCCAGGGGCCAAGTGGTCCCTGGAGAGGCTGTCCAGATCAGTGCTTCCCAAATGATCTGTGCTGAAAAGCCAGTTTTGAGAATTTCCAATCCAATGCAGAGCAATAATTTTGTAAAATACAATAAAAATGAATTATTAGAAAAGTGAAATGAAAAAGATACGTAAAATACAAAACTACTTTTTTGAATGATTAGATTCAACAGCATAGAATTGTTATGTAATTTTCTGACCACGTCCTCTCAGTTTCTGTGCTGTCTTCCTATGGGTCCTGTAACAAACAGTGAGCCAACACTGGTCGATGAATCGCACTTTGAGCAGCAGGGATCTAGCTAAAGCAGCCTGCTACAGTCAGCCAATCCCAGCAGATAGAGAAGCCTAGGAAAACTGCGGGCCCGCATGTGCTTTGTCCTGCATGCAAGGAAAGAAACAAACACGACAAATGGAGAGGATCTGAGCTTCAGGAGACGGAGGCTCAGCTAAATTCCAGCGTATTCACCAGCAGTTGCCTGCAAATTGCTTGGATATAGTTGTATAAAGTTTAGGGTTTGTTTTTTTTTTTTTTAACAGATAGGCAATACCTCAATACCGTTCTCGAATATCTCTATGGAAGTCCAGATTTTAACATCTAATGCCAGTAAATTAACTCCTGAGAACATCACTTCTGCTACTCGAGTGTTGGGACAGATCTTCAACACATCCAGGAATGACTCATCTGAGGTAAAACTCACAAGGTTTTTAAAAAGGGGAGAGGAAGAAAGGAAGAAAGGAAGCGAGGCCTCCCAAACTCCGTTGCTTCTCCATGGGATGCCTGGGGTGTGGTTCAGGTCGCTTCAAATCATGCACAGCACTCTTTCTGAGAGATTCTCAAAGAAATAAAAAAAGTCTCCTTGCCCAAATCTTCTCTTTCGAGATAGTCACATGATCATTTTCATGTTAAATTTTCTGGAAAGTCCTGGAATGAACAAGTCTATTTTACTTTATTAATATATTTACCAACTGCATTTGACCTCAGCATCCCTTATTCACTCCCAAGTAACCTGAGTTCGAAGAACTCACTTTGGGGCATGCTGTTATTAAACTGTGATCACTTTCTGCTAAGTGTACTTGCATTTTGGTTTTAGTTTTCCAAAAACTTTAAGCCTAGTTTACGTTTCTGATATCATAAACTGCTAAACTCTGGTACCTGAAAACAAGAACTATAAGCAATGTTTACCAGTTGGTACAGCTTGGGTACTGGTCAAGCAGAGCTATAAACCAATAGGGACTGACCCAGTGTCTACCAGCTGAATCAGCATGGCCTGAAAATATCTACTCCTTTCTTCCATTCCCTTTAAATATCTTATTTCAAAAAATTATTTGATGTTACTCTAGGTTCTTTGGAAAGTAAGTGAGATTCAAACCACAAGTTAATAAAAATGGACATTAAAGAGAAAAATAATGACCACCAAATGTAAAATTCATGAAGGATTAACCAATAAAGGCTGAAGGGTATCAATACCCGCAAAGAGGGCAGTTAGAAATCAAATGCCAAGAGATCCTCTCTGATGGACTCTCGAGTTTTTAATTGTAAGAAATCTAGAAATAATTGTACTAAGTCTAATAGTTACTAAGTGTAATGGTTATACTAAGTATAACTAATAAATTCTGCTAAATATTGTGGGCTGTAATGTTTTGAGACCTGCACCCTTCTTATTTTCTCTCTGCTTTCGTATCCAGGCATCTGCTTTTGTGTTCTTGGTGATGGGGGTGGAGGCTGTGACAGACCTTGCTATGAGATCAAATTCAGAGACCTAAGCCTCCCCATGGACTACCTCAATTTATATTTTCTCTGTGCCTTACATTTATTCTCTCTGCATCTTATGTAGACCAAAAACTAAGGCTTTAATTTTGAAAAAGACTTGCCCTTAGGTTACGATACCAATGGTACCACTCGATAGCATCATAATTCATGATAAGGACGATGATGATGATGGATGATATGCGTCCTCTATGACAACTGTGCCTTCTTCCTGGCAGGCAAAACTAGTTGCTGTAACAACAGTGAGTCAACTTCTAGATGCCAGTGAAGATATTTTTCAGGAAGCTGCTGCTACTGATGATGCTGCCTTTGAAACGTAAGCACCATTTCAATTTGGAAAGAAAATCTGACAAAGGGCTGTTTACTTCTGAGGTTAAAGCATTAACAGAGTTGTCTTTATTTTTCTCATGGGTGCACTAAACTGGCTGATTCCTCTGGAATGCTTCCCACCAGATCCTCAGTTACTAGGTGGAGAGGTGTTTGTTAGCTCCCAGTTCCAGGCGGGGCCATGGCCTGGGAGAAAGAGACGGAATGATTCACAGTAGAACGTGTTTTCCTAGCCTTAGTTTGGCATGCCCCAGGGCAACCTGCATGGACAGCAGGAGCTTTTCCAACTCCTTTCTCAATGCACAGAGCTGCAAGTGACAGCAGAACCCTGCGCGGTTCAGTGCTAGTGCCCCACCCACAACCCAGCCATCACAAATATCCTGGAGTATTCTGATTAAGCTTTCTTTAGCTTTCTTTAGCTTTCCTGAGGCTACGCTGAAAAAAAAAATAAAACAGATCCACTCTACCTGCTCTCTCTCTTGTTGACTCCTATGTTTTGGCTTACTTTTGGTTGTATATTTATACTAAAACTCATATACTTTATTCATAGAGGTCCCTCACTGGGATTCACTGTGTTTTAATCTTATATACGGTTTTCTTAACTCTTTTAAAATTTAAGTTGTTAACCTGTTGGTATACATTCTTCCTTTTTTTCTCTGTTTGTATGTGTGTGTGTATAATATTACATACTCTATTGACTTATGACTTGTTTTTGTCACTTAATACCTTATACACATCTTTTTATATAAGATGTATATACACATACATCATAAATTTTAGATTACTGCATAATATAAGTGAACTTTTATTTAAGCAATTCTCTGCTACTAGACATTTAGATTGCTTCAAGTCTTTTAATATTCTGAGCAATCAGCATTCTTTGTTTGCATGACCTGTTATTTCCTTAGGAGAAATTCTTAGAAGTAGTTCTCAGTTTTCTAATTATTACAACCAGTCCCTATTTAGTGTTGAGTCTTTAAAGTATGAAAGAGAGAGAACGTTCAAAAGATTATAATTCTGAGAGACAGTGGTAGATGTTGTGTGAACAATCAAACTGGTGTATTTTCTGACTTTGAATTTCCACAGGAGTCTGGGCCCTTCCCACCGGCAGCATGGATACTCCCATTGTTCTTGAAGTTGGATAGGGAGATGGCGTCCAGAGTATGTGCTCAGTTAAAATGAGACTGAGAGCCAGAGCTTCTGGGCTCCTGTCAGAGCAGAGGCTCTGGGTCTGCAGTGTTGCTTAGAGGGAAAGGAGACGAGCTGACGCTTTTGATAAGGAAGCTGAGGAAGAAGAAGTTACGGGATTTGGCTGAGAAAGTCACAGGCCATGAGGCAGATAAGAATACAGTCCTAATAATAAACAATTATGAATTTTACTGGCTTAAGACATGGAGAAGAAAACAATTCTATGTGACTTATGTGTACTATCCAAATGGCTTCAAGAGAGGAGGGTAGAGGATAAACAAAAGTTTAAAATATAGAACACACTGAAATATGAAATGATACAGCCACACTCACTCCCTCCTTCCTCCCACTCTGAATTTCTAGTCTACTCGCTTTTCTAGTCACAGTCCATCGGTTTGCCCTCTCCCATGTTATCTTTTGCATTAGCCCTTGTGGACTCAGCTCCTTCATTCACTTAGATGAGGCCTTCGTCCCTGCTTCCAGCCCCAAGCTCAGGTCACCAACCCCTTCGCTCTCCTCAGGAGCACACTCTGGATGCACTGCCAATGGAGGTTATCTCTCACTCTCCTCTCTCCCCAGGGAAGGAAAGTAATTGCTGCTCAGGGCAACTCTTGCTTTCCAAACTCCGTCCCCTGTGCCCAGGCCTGGAGCATGGTCTGCGGAGGGTACCACGTCCTGGTGGTCCATCTCCCTTTGACTTCTCCCCGTTTCATTCAGTTTCCTCTTTGCTTCTGAAGCACCTGAACTCCCCTTACATGCCTCTGGGGAGAAGTGGACCTGGTAAGACTGAATCGGAGGGGAGTCACAGGGGAAAGAACCCACACCAGCTTCAGGCATCCTGAGTTGTCAAGTGAAGTTCTCCAGCGTCTGTCTGGGGATTCTCTTTTTCTAAGCTGGGAGGAGGCAGGAGCTGGGGCAGCGCCTCTGCTGGTAAGGGCACCCTACCACAATCAATCAATCTGAGACCTCAGGTCTCCATTTTGAACACTTGCCGTAAAGACTGATCCATAACCTTGAAACTTTGCTGCCACATTCAAGCCCATAATTGGCCCTGTTTACCTAAGTTTGGGGATGCAAAACTGCTTCCCTGATACTGAACACCTTGTACCTTTCCACTTCACATTTCTGTTCCAGCCAGCCCTCTTTGGTTACAAGACACTCACTTAAGTTATCTTGACCAAATGGAGGCTTATTGTAAAGTGGCATATGGACTGTCATGGGAACCTAAGAACAAGATCGTCGTACAGCTGGGTGCTGTGGACTCTGGAACAGGGGGATGGCAGGGCAGCCAGGGCGACTTTTAAGGTCTCCATAGAGGAGTCTGTGGGTCTTGCCTCTGGGATGATACAATGGGTGTGGCCACAGCCTTTGGAGTCACAGTCCTGAGTTCAAATTTTAGTGTTGCTGTTTAGTAGCTACATGATTTTGGCCAAATTATTTCATTGCTCTCTGAAGAGCCTCAGATTCTTCAATGTCATATGGGAGTCATTTGGGGGCTCACTTCAGTAGGATCCTTGTGAGGGTCAAATGAGATGATGTAAGGAGTCATAGCACAATGCCTGACTTACACATATTAAGTCTTGAAACAAACACCAGTGTCTTCATAATTATGACTCAAAAAACATCTTCTAGTTTCTGCTCTCTCATAATTTAACCCTGTTTATGATGTTGAGGAAATATAATTAAAAACAAAATCTTCTGCCATCCCGGAAATGCTCTCTACAAAGGTAGCAGAGAAAGAAAACACTTTTATTACTGAGTGAGCATTAAAGCAGAATGTGAGGTGCATCATAGGCAAACACATGAGAGAGTGTGAAGACAGAAAGGAACTTCACCTCTGCATGTAGACAAGCAGATAGAACCCATTACAGACATGTTTTCAGACAAACAATAGCTAGTCCTCAATTAAGAGAACTTGACAGCACTGTTTGTTACACCTGGTTCATCCTAAGTTTATCTAGCAAGTGAGGTGACCATTTGTGTTAGCTAATTGACTTTATGCAGAGGAAAAACAAACTTTTCATATTTTTATGACAGAAGACACTTTTGCAACTTGGAACAAGGTGCCCACCCATTGTTTTTAGGCTCCTAAACACTGGGAGATAGGGGCACTAGCTCCCTTGATGTTAGCATTTCAAAGAAACGGCTCCCCTGTCCCTGAGAAAGACATTCCTAGGTCATAAAACTGACAAAATGCCAATCTAGTCTTCAGAAGGGTTTATTTACATTTCAGAGAGAGGAGAAAGTATTTACCAGTTTTCTAAAGTAAATGTCCAAAGAAAAAGGAAGGAAGAGAAATTTTTCCCCTTATTTTCAACAGGAAGAATTAGGCCTCTTATTTTTAATTTGTATTTGTCCTTGCAATGACATGTGACCTCTCTCGTCCTCTCTAAACCATGACTTTCCTGATAACTGCTACATTAGATGGAAAATTTCTGAGTGAAAGAATCTGACTGCTTCTTCTAGTCATTCGTACCAGGTTGATGGCCAGCATCCAGACTGGGTGCTCTGAGGCAGGCACCCAGCTCTCATCCATCAGTTATGGCAAGAAGAGGGAAGAGTCATATGGAAGGAAAAACGGTCCTAGAAGTGGCTATGGCTAGAGCTACCCTTTGAAAGTGGTTTTGGTTACAGCAAACACCCCCATGTATCTAGCACATCCTTCTCTTTCCTCTTAGCGTCCCCAGCGTCTCACAGGGCACTGACCTCTTGGTAGGTGCTCGACAGGTATTGTTGGTTGAGTAAATGTGTGAATTGTGTTCTTGGCAGACTGGAGTTGTTTTAGGTATTCCTCCTGTTGAAAGCAGCTCTGCAGTATGACTATTATTCACGAACTGGGAAATACCTAGTGTGAAGTGCTGAAAATTGCAGAAAATGGTGTTATAAAAGGAAAAGTTTTGATACAAAGAAGCCAACTTGAATGTTTCCATATGCATGATTATCACAAACTCTTTATAAAGCAATCTTTAAATATTTAAAAATTTATCTCTCTTTCCTATCTCACTTGAGAAAGGAAAAAGATATTTTAGTGGCAGAAATAAGAATTTAGAATACAGAAAAATTGTATTTTAATGAAATTCTTTCATTTCTGGGAAAACTGGATAGAACCAGTTATCTTAAATACAGGGATTTTGTTTCGTCAGGTACTGAATTAGTGCAAATATTTCTTATAGGAAACAAGAAAAAGAAAAGGTCTTATGACTTTTCTTTGAAGAACACCAAATTGACAGGTTCCCCCTACTCCCTCCCACCTTCCATCTAATCTATCTTTGAACTTCTCCAAAGTAGAAAAGAACATTGTGAAAACCTGCAGTGTTTAGTTCATAGCTAAGGCAATGAGCTCAGAGCTCTGCTCTTCTTTAGTTCCATATAACGGTGTCCTCAGAATCAACTTATAGGGGATGCTTTGGACTCCAAGGAGTTTGGATGAGAGGAGGAAGTTGAATAAGTGGAAATTGATTCTCACCACTGGAGAAACAAGAATCACGTGCCTGGCCAATAGTGGATGGCAACACCATCCTTCTATGTGAAGACCAGTGTAATGAAGATGATTGCTATTGGGAAATCTGTCATTCTTGAGTTCCAGCTTTCTGGCATCTATGTCCAAGGTTTCCTTCAGTGGGAACAGTCCATCAGAGCTTTTTAAAAAGTGTATGTAACAAAGCAGGAGTCTGGGAAGAAAACCCAACCGTTTTTAGGCCACTGTGCCAACGTTGTTGTGATTACATGAGCTCTGTTCATGCCTTTCTGCGGGAATGTGGGAGCGAACACACATCCCTGATTTTATGATGAATCTCCAGGATATGATGTCATTATGTTTTATTCTCTGTAGGCTTATTGAACAAATAGAGACTTATTCCTTGTCTTTGGGCAGCGAGCCAGTGGTGAAACCTAATATAGCAATACAGTCTGGTGACATCCCCTCAGAGGGCTCCACAGGCGTTCTCTTCACTGTACAGAAAGGTGAGCTGTTTGTGTCGTGTGCTTGTAATAGCAAAGAGCATTCTGCTACCAACTATGAATAATCTCTATTCACAAAAATGTAGACTTTTAAATTCTACTTTTTTCCTTCTCATAGGAGCAAGCGAATCTCTCATTTCTGGTTCCACATCGATAAGTACAAGCGCGGACGGACTTAATGCGGACGAGCAGACTGAACTGCAGGTCTTCCTCAACACCTCAGCGAGTAGGTCTCAAACTGCATCGTGCTACAAAATGCCTCACATTCGTGGACTTACCAACTGAAAATCCACTGAGCGAGAAATAATGTTTACTTAGTTTCATGCTGAACAGTTTGGGTTTGAGTGTTTTTGAGCTCTGACAGATTATGGTAATCTCAATTCTACCATTGTACGTCATAGAGATGATTTTTCTTTCTTTTCAAATACCCTTTGGAGGATAGCAGTATTGAAATGCTCTGGCTGTGGACACCAATCTTTTCCTAACAAAAATCTAGTGAATGCAGTTCAATTTTACATTTAAAAATACGTTAAAAAAATATCCAGTCACAAGCTCTGGCATATTTACTAGCAGCATGGCATGCACAGGCCTGGATTCATCCTATAGACCCATCCTTGGGCTACTTTATGTAATTGGCACAGGCGTACCATCATCATCTAAGAGTACCAATTTTCAGTTAACTCTACCAATATGGTGCCCACTGTGGGCTCCCCATTTTACAAAATGTACAAACTTTTCTATGTGGCCCTTTAGAAATGCTTATGTCTAACTTGAAATGTTTGCACTTCTCAAAGTTTGAAAAAAATTGACTGTGGGCCAGCCCTGTGGCGTAGTGGTTAAGTGTGGCGTGCTCTTCTTCGGTGGCCTGGGTTCAGCTCCCGGGCCTGGACCTACGTCACTCATCTGTCAGTGGCCACACTGTGGTGGCAGCTCACATACAAAAAGAGGAAGACTGGCAACAGATGTTAGCTCAGGGCGAATCTTCCTCAGCAAAAAGAGGAAGACTGGCAACAGATGTTAGCTCAGGGCGAATCTTCCTCAGGAAAAAGAGGAAGATTGGCAACAGATGTCTGCTCAGTGTGAATCTTCCTCAGGGGGAAAAAAAATTGGTTGATTAATTTGACAATAATAAGCAAATTAAACATGCACATTTAATTTTACTCTCTCCCCAAAGAAAAAATCCAATGCTAGGAAGTACATATTTTAGAAAGACTAAATTCATAACTCAAATTGGTTATCTAATTCCAATTGGTTAACTAACTCTATTGATGATATAAGTTACAAATATCTTCCCTCCAGTCTATAGCTATCTTTTGCTTGTTTTTTTATGTCCTTTGTCATACTCAAATTTTAATTTATAATGTGTCCAATGTATCCATGTTTTCCTCTATAATTGATAGTTTTTAAAAGAAATCCTTCACTATGCTAAACTCACAATGATAGTTGCCTCTGTTTTCTTCTGAGTGTTTTTAGTGTTTGTGCTTACATTTTGGTCTTCAGAGCACCTAGAAATTGTGTTTGTATTTGGTGAAAGGTAGGGATCTAATTTTTTGTTCCATATAAACTATCAATATTGTCAAATGAGTTAAAAAAAAACACACTGTCTAGAGACAAAAACTCAGATTGGACTGAAAGGGACAAATTTTTATATTAATTTTTAAAAAGCCTCCAAAATTATCTACATTTTAATTCTTTCTTCCCCTGAAAAGACATCATTGAAATGTATAAGCAAAAATTATAGGAAATGCAGGGCACATTGACCAAACCACTATTATAGGGAGAGACTTTAGTGCAGTACAACTCTCCCAGAAACTGAAGACCAGGTAGACAAAAGATAGCTAATAAACTTGACCTTTATATACGTCTGTGTGTGTAATTTTGTTTGTAGACAGAAAACAGATAATAAAAATTCATTTCAAATATTCATGGAGTGCTTCAAAAACTGACCACTTATTAGGCCACATAGAAAAGCTTACACATTTTGTAAAATAGGACTTACACAGAGTTCCTGACCACAATGCACTAAAACTAGAAATGTACCACAAAAGAATAGCCAAAGTTTCATCCAATTCGAAATTTTAAAACACCATCATTAAAAAGGAAATTAAAGTGTAGATTATTAATTAGTTGAAAATTAATGGCAATGAGAACAGATCAAAACCTATGGGATGGTTGCAAAGAAGTATATAAAGGAAAATGTATATCCTTTAATAAATTTATGAGAAAATAAAAGAAACTGTTAAAAAAATAAACTAAGCATTCTGCTAAAGAAGCATAAAAAGAAGATAAATGTAAAAAAGCTGGAAGGAAGGAATTAATAAATATAAGGGTAGAAATTAATAAAAAATAGAAATTAACAAATCCTAGACTTGATCAACAAAAAGAAAAATTGATTCCATGAAAGGGCTTATGAAATATGGAAGCTTCTGACAAATTTGATCAAGAAAAGAGAGTGAGAATATAAATAAAGAGACATCAAGGAGTTATATCTAGAAATATGGAGATTTTTAAAAATTACAAGATAATGGTAAATGTAACTTTTTCTAGTGAATCTGAAAATCTAGATTAAAGGATAATTTTCTAATAAATGACCAAAATACTGTAGGAATAAGGAGAGGGGTGAGCAGGAACTTTCATTTTTTTTTAAGACTATATACTTCCGTGCATTTGAAGTTTACATCAAGCATGTCATTCTTTTATTAAAATAATAAGAATAAAAAGAAGCCTTACTGCATTCTGAGGGTTAACTTTGTCATCCAGTGTCCAGGAGGAACAATATGGCAAGGTCAATGTGCCATGAAAACTCCAGAAACCAGCATCTACATTTCCAGGTAGAGGCCAGAGCTGCGTGGCCGGCGGTGGAGGACAGCCTGGGAGCTGTCAGGGCCTCCCCTGCCTATCTTTCGAATCTTATGACTGAATAGGCTGGTCTCACTGCCACTGTTCTAGTTTTCTTTACATCACATGTGAAAGGCAGCAGAGTTTAGGGAATTAATTCAGTTAAAGTGTATACTTATTGTTGTTGCTTCTGTTATTTTAAGTATAGGCAATAGTTGTATAAAGTGTTAGGAGACATTCCTCAGGTGGGTCTGTTTGATTGCTGCCGTGGCCAGCCTCACTGCAAAACCCTCTGCTGTGTCCATGCTCCTCTGGGACCTCTCAGGAACAGCTGACCACTTTTTCTAATGTCCTGAAGAAATGTGTTACCATAGTTTTCCAGCCCTTGGAAAAGCCTGTGATTGTCATGAAGTAGCAGAGATCAATGGTTCAAGAGATGATGGGAAGTCTCTGGCTCCATTGAAAGAGTCCCTGACATGCACAATCTGAACTCCTGGCTCTGTGATGTAACAGACTGGTCCCTACTCAGTCCCTTTGAACAGCAGACGGACTTCACAGAGCACTTCTCTAGGCACAGCCGTCCTGATAGTGGCCCTTTGCTGTTTCCTGTCCAATGTCTTAGCAGTGGGGGAAGCAGCACGGGCTTGGGCTACTTGCGTGTGGTGTCCACCCTGTCTCACTGCATAGAAAGCAAGATGTTCACTTCATACGTGAGATCCTCGCAATATCCCCTTGCGGTGGATTAGACAGGAATTGTTGCTCCCATTTAGAAGGTAAGGAATCTGAACTTCAGGAAGAAAATTAATGTGGGTGGAATGGCCAACCACAGATTACATATGTTAATTACATATTGCAATTAAGTAGAGGTTCAGTCAGCAAACCATTTTAACTGAATGCACTTTACTCACATCTGAAGCAGCTGTGCAGGTCAACAGGGACGTGGGGCTTCGTTTCTTGATTACCCTGGAGTTCACTTATTAATTTCAGTGTCTTTTTTTCCCTCACAGGTAATGCCAAGTCATGTGGCTTTGTAGTGTATCAAAATAGCAAGCTTTTCCAATCAAAAACTTTTACAACAACATCAAATTTTAGTCAAAAAATTGTCTCAAGCACGATTGACGCAAATAAGGAAGATCAGAGTAGTTCTGTTACAATGGTCTTTAATCCAAAGGTGAGTTTTCCCATTAACGGAAAGAAAAACTTCAGCCCATTGTTAATTACAAATGCGGTAACAGTTTTAGAAAAAACCAGATAGTTTACAAAAAACGGATTGTTTGGGCAAAAGAAATTCACAAAAAAAACTCTTTGAAAGATTCTTTGAAAGTATTCATATCAACCTTACCCCTTCCATATTTTTTTGTCAGGCTAGCTAAACGCAGAATAAACTAATTTGAATTTTATATCCTTTTTCTTCTCCCTAATCTGTAATGAAGATGCTGTGATTAGGACCTATCTAATTGATTTCTCACATGCTTATCTTACCCTATTTGAGTTTTTCTACCCAACTAAGCATTTTAAAAAATCAGTTGCAATTGTCTTATCAATTTGCAGAACAACCAACAAGGATTCCAACTCCATTCCTATGCCTGTGTCTATTGGAATCTTTCAAAGAAGGATTGGGATACATATGGCTGTCACAAAGAAGAAGGCCTTGATGGATTCCTGGGCTGCCACTGCAACCATACAACGAGTTTCGCTGTATTAATGGTAAGGATGTACATAGGAATCTTTTTCCAGACAAGAATTTTCCCTATACACAATTCGAGTATGTGCTAATTTGAGATAACTTTGGGGTTTTGTTTACGTTGATACTCAACCCAGATTAAATGGAAAAACAAGGAATGGGGTGAGTACTAAAAAGGAAGCGCTGGTAAAGGCAAGTAGATTAGAGTTCTTTGTAACATGGTCTCAGGATAGACGAGTCCAGCACTGTGCATTTAATAATGAGAAGGGAGCCCATGTGCAAAAAGAGCTGCTGACAGACTCTACCCAACGAACTTGCATGTTCTGAAGCATGGAGTTGTTGTAGCCAGACTTACGGCTGTCCAGCTGTGTGTTGGGGACAGGTTCAGTACATACTTAGCTGTGGGTGGGCAATTTAAATCAGTTACCCAAAGCTTTTTCCCTTGTAATCATCTGAGTTACTAAGTTTATGCTGGAAGATATAGGAGGAAAAGTTTCTGAGTTCATCCGAATCGTCCGATAGTTCCTCTATGGATTTCTTGAAGCTTTTGCCCTCAAAGCTGCCCTGTACAAGTGCCTGATAACACTGAGCGTTGGTGTGCAGCTGTAATGCACCTCTGGAAGGTCTCGGGCTGACCCTCTTAAGAAGAGGAGCTTTGTTTGTTCCATTTCCAGAAAGCTATTATTCTGGTGAAACCAGCAATGTTAGTTTCTATGTTTGATGAAATCTTTTCATATGCAAGGGAATGAGGAGGGATCCAGAGAGTCTTACCCTCGTCACGGGCTATGAATGCTACGAATCTCCCCGAAAGAAGCAGAAGTTCTTGTTCTGCAGTAGCTGTGATGCAGGCATATTTGGGAAGCCAATGCAGATCAGAACACACTGGGACAACATTGAGTACCAATTGATAGAACCTCGCTTTAAAAAATTTTTGGGGGGGCCGGCCCCGTGGCCGAGTGGTTGAGTTCGCGTGCTCTGCTGCAGGCGGCCCAGTGTTTCGTTGGTTTGCATCTGGGGCGCGGACATGGCACTGCTCGTGGAACCAAGGTGAGGTGGCGTCCCACATGCCACGGCTGGAAGGACCCACAACTAAAAATACACAACTATGTACTGGGGGGCTTTGGGGAGAAAAAGGAAAAAAATAAAATCTTTAAAAAAAATCTTTTTTTGAGATAATTATAGTTTTCTTATTTTAATTATCAAATATTTCTTATTTTAATTGATTTTATTTTCCAACTTGTATTACAAAGAAGTCTGTTTTCTCAATTAAAAAATAATACAGATAAAATTTTAATTTTTTGGATATCTTAAGATCATTAGGATCATTGAATAGCTGTGTAAATCTCAGATCACTATTATATTAAATGATACAGACCACACTGTCATAGTAGTTTTTCTCCTTTTTTGAGGTCAGTCTTTCAGCTGTTTCTTCTCACTAATATCTGAATCTGCCTCAATGCCTACCTACTCACATTCAGAATTAGTTTTGCGTTGCAAAATTCCAAAAAAGTCTGGTTAGAATTGTATGGAAAGTAAGAGCAGACAGGCTCTGTGTGCATAGACACCTCTAAGATCTGACGACCTACGTGTTCTACGATTCTTTGTCATCTGCTTAGTATATGGCACACGGAAAGTCGCAGGAAGCTTTTGTTTTATTATTTTTAAAAATGAAGTTTGTTTGGTTTTTATTTTCTTCCTCCAAGAGCAGTACATACTCATTGCATATTGGTTTTTATTTTCTTCCTCCAAGAGCAGTACATACTCATTGCATAAAGTATGAAAGCTTACCTACTAAACTGAAATATAGTGATATGGAAAAATGTTTTTGATATCTTAAATTAAAATAGCAATTCGAGAATAACGTTATTATGTTAAAAAACCCCTATGTGTTGGTACAATTGATGTAGATAATATTTGTAAGCACGTACAAAAAGGCCGCCTCTGGAGAAGAGATGATCTCAAGAGGTAGGGTATAATGTAGGGGAGTTGGCAGTAAAGAGAAAGATACACTGTTTTATTATGTTTCCATATTACTTTTGTTTTTTATAAATAAGCAAAAATGGCTTTTCTAATTTTAACAATTTAAAAAAACTGGAAAGTACGGATAAGCAAAAGGAATCATATATATCCTACCCACCCAGTGATCACCAGTATCTCCTTTCCAGATTTCTAAGAGTATGTACGCACATCGCGTATACTTTTCTATGAATATGTATTAAAATACTGGGATAAATATGGACATACTACACAAAAATTAGATCTCCTTTTAAAAAAATTAACAGGATCATATGAACGTCTTTGCACGTCTATAAATATATTTGTACAACTGGATTTTTAGTTTATCAACTTACATATGCAGATTTCCCCTTGGATTATAGTTACATACAAAAATAGTGTAATGGATAAATGAAGAAACTCTAGCCAATTTAGATTTAATCCAAACAACTTTGATTTTAGACATTGAGAAGCAGTATATATGTTTCTCCCACCTGAATGAGTTACACAACTGTTCTTAGGCCTCTACTTCATGTAAACTGCTGAGAGATAAGGGGTTAACTTATTTCCGTTTAAAATATATCAACTGCTTTATAAAAAGAAGACATATCTGGCTATTTTGACCAATGTATCTGGTTGTTTTGACCAATGCATCTCTTCATGATGTAGACTTTCATAGACATTTCAGGAATGGTTATTAAAAATATGAATCTTAACTTCTTTTCCAGAGTTTCAAAAAGTATCATAAATATCCTGAATCACTAGACATATTATCCATTCTTGGATGTGCACTGTCCATTACCGGTCTGGCTGTCACGATTATATTTCAGATTGTCACAAGGTAAGAAGGGAAGCAGGCTCTTCTCACGAGAGAGATTGCTACCCTGATGTTATTTCCTCTGAGTATATCTCATCAGAATATAGTCTCAGAACTAGAAGGGGAATCAGACTGAGTTAACAGTGTCATTGTACAGAAGAGGACACTCCGTCTTGGGGAGGCTACGAATTACACTCAAATAAATATGTAATTACAAACCATGGTAAGTGCCTTGAAGGAAGACTACATACCATGTAATTGCAAGTTCGTTCTATAAAATTAGTATGGTCCCACGGCTCATTGGTGACACAGCTCCTTAGTGTCAAACAGAACCACACCTACCAACTTGCATTTGCAAAAAAAGAAACATTGCTAAACAGTAAGTTTTTGAAAATAAAACTAATTTACAAAATATATTGTTTTCAAATGGTGAAACTTTTTAAAGATTTTGAATTCCATAGTTTTTTTAAAGCTAATTTTAAAAAATTAACTATAAATACATATTTCTCTCCACTTCAACCCCCTCACTCAAGGTCCAATTTTGTGTATCACTTGTTATTTTTTGTCACATGCTACATCTGTAACAATCTGTAACTGTCCGCTTGTTCATTTTTTAATTTGTCTACTCTCTGTCATCTCCGTGAGCATGAAAATTGATGAGGATGGGGACTTCCTCTGACTGAGTTGTTGCTGTTGTTTGTTTGGTTTGGCTTTCATCACTGTATCCCCAGGGTGAGCACAGTCCTGGCCCACGCCGGAGGACTATCCACAGAATACATGAGTCTATTGCACATGCCTGCCTGGTTCTCCTCTCAAACTCAAGATGTCTCAAGATGGACTCATCTTTCCTTCAGAATTATTTCTCCCTGCTAAATTCCTCCACAACTATTTTCTCAGATGGGTAGATTCAGAACTTTTTATTCTAAAGTTATTTGTATTTTAAAAATTTTCCTAAAGTTCTATTAAGAAAATTAAAACCATGAAGCTGGCCCTGTGGCTGAGTGGTTGAGTTATTGCGCTCTGCTTCAGTGGCCCAGGGTTTGGCCAGTTTGGATCCTCTGCATGGACATGGCACCGCTCATCGGGCCATGCTGAGGCAGCATCCCACATACCACAACTAGAAGGACCCACAACTAAAAATACACAACTGTGTACCGGTGGGCTTTGGGGAGAAAAAGAAGGAGGGGGAAAAAATAAGAGAAAAAGAATTGAAACCTATAGAAAAATGGAAAGAGAACACTGAACGTCCGTATGCCCTTCACCTAGATTCACCAATTATTAATATTTTGCTTTGTCTCTTTTTAAATATTTTTCCTGAAATTTTGGAAGTTGTAGGCATCAAGACTGTCATCTCTCAATTCCTTAAACGTGTATTTCCAAGAACAAGGGAGTTCTCCTAGGTAATATAATACTATTATCCTCACTCAGGAACTTTAGCATTAGTATAAAGTTATAGTGTTGATATACAGTTGACATTCAAATTTCTCGAATTGTTCCAGTAATGTCCATTATAGCTATTTTCAGTTTTTCCCCCCTCAATTCATTTAGTCCTCATATCTCTTCAATCTCCTTTAGCCTAGAATAATTCCTCCGCTTTTTGTGTGTTTGTGTGTTTTGGTCTTTCCTGATATTAAAATATTTGAAGTGTCCAGGTCAGTTATTTTATAGAAGGTAGAATGTTATACAACTTAGGATGTGTCTGAAATTTTCTTCATGACTAAATACGGGTTAAGTATTTTTGATGAGAACACTAAATCATTAAGTCTTTTCCGGTGGGGCACAGCAAGAAGTGCGGGAGGTCCGTTTGTCCCATTATTGGCATGTTAAGTTTGATTCCTTGTTTAAAGTGGTGTCTGTCAGATTGCTTCACTGTGAAAGTTCATTCTTTCCCATTGTAAGGAAGAGGTAATCCACGGGGTGATGCTTTGAGACTGTGTGAATATCCTGTTCCCCAACTTTTACTCAGTGGTTTTGGTATTCTCTGATGATCACTGCTAGAACACATTACACTAGTGGCTGAAAATGATTTTCTAATGGACCATTCTTTCTCTGTTTGGTCACTGTAAGCCTTTGTAAGGAAGTATGTTCTCCAGTGTAGCCAGAGGGAATCCTTTAGTGTTGCTCTGTCACATCCCTATCAGTCCTTAAACATTTCCTTATTTCAGGCACAGCCCGATGATCCAGGCACATCTTTCACTTTCTCTGCCCCAGACTTTGAATCAGCCATTTGTCTAAAGAGTCAGAATTCTCTTTGATTCCTCTTCTTTCCCTCTCGCACATAATGAGTCTCTTGCTACTCATTTAAAGTTTGTATACTGAGTGCTACTATGTGCTAAGTGGCATGTGAGGAGCTTGATATGAAACGATGGACCGGACAGATAAGCTCCCATCTCTCATAGCATTTGCATTCTCAGGGGGAAGTCAGACATTATATAAATATATGCAATTACAAATTGTGGGAAGTGCCTTGACGGAAAATTAGGTGAGATGTAATTACAAGTCTGTCATGTAAAATGAAATGGCTCTTTATTTGTCCTTTCATTTGTATTTCTACCATCACCACACTTGAACAGAGAATTATTAGTCCCATGTGAATAAGCTGCAGTAGCTGCGTAAGTAGTTTCTTTGCCTAAAATCTCACTCCTTCCAATTGTCATCAGATTTTTTTTTCTATTCTCTATTAACATATTTCTTAGCACAGTTTTGCTGCCACAGGTGTCACTAAAAACTTATCAGGAAACAAAAATAAAAATAAAATTGTATCGATTTTTAAATCCTGAATCAAATTTGTTTTCTTTGTTCATGGACAGGTTCCCATATAATAACAATAATAATAATATATACATATATAATTATATATATTACATATTTCTGTGCACATTATAATAATGCACAGAGTACAATAATATATAGATAAGCCAGGCTGTTTGAAAATAGCCTGTATTCCCTGTGGATTATAATTTATGTTTGAAATTGGAGAAAAATTTGAAACTAACTTTACTTTTATATAAAAGGATTCTTTTGACTAGTTTTTGCAATTCTTGTCATTAAACTTTTCAAAGACAATGAAATTTTGAATTATCTAGAAAATCTCAAATAAAATCTCAAAAGGATAGATGGAGTTCTGTTTGAATATAAGCTTTTTATTCAGTGTGGAAATCCAAACACCGAGAAGGGTCGTGATGGAGTGTTAGAAATCATAGAGGATATGTAACTGGCAAACAGACTTGTTCATCAAATTCTGGGACATTAAAAATAGAAAGGTATTTGAAGATGTTAGAACTGCAAGCACAGTAATAAACCTAGGGAAATACTTATTCCCAGAGGTCTTGTAGTCTGAAAAATCCAGGATCGTTTAGACGGTACTGAGTAGAAATTTTATAACTTTCATTAATATAGGATTGTGTACCATAATATACAGAGAACCGTGTAGTGGCATTAGATGATATTTAAAGATATATCTCCCTTTAAACATTAAGGAAAAGAATATATGCACAGAAAACAGAATATCAAATCTCCCATTTGAGATCAGCTTTATTAAGGGCAGTCTTGCATTCTCTGCCAATCTGAAAATATACACATGGGCCACCACAGACACACACACACTCATATACACTCACCCTCACACACACACACACACACTCACACTGCCTTCTGAAGACTGCCGGGAAACAATGCCAGCTTGCAAACAAAATGAGAAAAGGCTGTTCTTTTCTAGTAAAGATTGTGGGTAAATATGAGAAGAAAAAAAAAAACAGTTTTAAAGAGCACTTGGTTCTACACCCAGAAATGGTATCTTCAGATGAAGGACCCATCCTCGGGCGTGTTATAGGTGAAAAGGCCTTGTGTGGGCTACGGAAGTATGAAAGCCTTACGGGCCCTGGGCACAGCTGGGTCTAACGGAGGAGCTGGCCTGGCTGCCAGGCGTTCTGCTGCATCTCTTAGTTCAATCAAATCTCAGGCCAGTCCTGGAAGGGGACCACACAGGCACAGATACTGGGAAGCACAGTTCACTGGGCCATGTCTGGAGAGCAGCTCTCACCTTTGATTAGGACACAGTTTTGAGGAGGACGCATCAGCCTGTTTTCGCTAAGGCTCCTCTTTGTGGAGATGCCATGAGAGGCAAATCTGCTTTTCTGGTGTAATTGGGAAGGTAGATTTAGCAGCTGGCCCAGTGGGCTATCAGCTAGATTGACATTGGGTAATAATATTCCTTTGCTCCCTCACAGTTTCACTAGAGTTTATTTTCTGCAGTTCGTTCGTTTATTTATTTAATTATATTTACTTATTCATTTTCAGGAAAGTCAGGAAAACCTCAATAACCTGGGTGCTGGTGAGTCTGTGCACATCAATGTTGATTTTCAACCTCCTCTTTGTGTCTGGAATTGAAAACCCCAATAAGAACTCAGAGACAAGTGGTAGTGTCAGCACTGTTGACAGTAATAATAATGAAATTCCCAGACAAGACATTGTCTTCAGCTCGAATCCCACGTGCACTGTGTTTGCTGCCTTGCTGCACTACTTTCTCTTGGGGACATTCATGTGGACTGGGCTCAGTGCTGCTCAACTCTATTTCCTGCTGATTAGGACCATGAAGCCTCTTCCGCCACGATTCATTCTTTTCATCTCTTTAATCGGATGGGGTAAGCATTTGCTTCTCCACTTACTCGGGAATTTAATTTTGTTGAAATCATTTAGTTTACACAAACACCTATTGAAGGCCTAGTAGCACAAGGCCTGGAGGGAGGGGAGATGGAAAGTCCAGCCGTCGTACCTCACACCCTATGCAGGAGGCTGATGTGATCCAGACAGCTCTTCTAGGTACACCACGAGCTGACTTCGAGATGTTAATTTCCTTTAACATCTCTGTTAACTTGATTTGAGATTTAGACCACAAACAATGTTCTAGCTAGTTTAAAAGAAATGTTTCAAGTAAATCAGAGTGACTTTTTAAGAAAAATAATTTTAAAAGTTTATTAGGTTCCAGCAAAAGAGAATTGTTTTAGTGATATCTAAATTTAAATTTATTCAAGTGAAAGAGGAATTAGCCCATTTAAGAATGGAAGTTGTGGTAGGACTTACAAAGAAATCAGAAATAGTATAGGATTGTTACTTAGAGCCAATGTTAAAAGAGAAGTGGAAACACAGAAAAATTGTGTCCACTGTTGACCTACATCTGTAGACCGTTTACTACCTTGTCTACAGTGGAAAGAATAATGCATCCTGAAAAGGATCGGATGTATAATTCATTCCTCTTCTTTTATAATTAATCCCAGTCTTGGGTAAATTATTAATTCTGTGCCTCTCTTTATCACATAGGAGTCCCAGCTGTAGTGGTGGCTTTGACAGTGGGAATTATTTTTTCTCAGTACAAGGATGATCCAGAATGGGAGTTACACTACCGGCAGGAGCAGATGTGAGTTTATATGTTTAAAAATGTCCGTTTCTTTGATATAAGTGTGTAACTATTCAGCGGTGTTGAGTCCAAGTGTCACCGTACATATGCATCTCACTGTATAATTGTCATATTATAAGCACTTTAAATTCTCGAAGAACACATTCTATTTTAAGTATGGTGACATGAACATTTCCTTCAATAAATCCTTTTGCAAAGCAAGTCATTACCTTCTAAATTTACAAATCTGAACTTTCTTATATTAAATTTGTCTTCCTCTATTAAGTCTGAAAATCACTGACACAATAGGTGTGATCCGTAGTCGTCTAGATGATCCTTCCTCATCTAGAAAATGGGAAGAACTGAGTAATACACGCTCTGGGTTACTCTGAGAGGTCCAGCAAGTGTGAAAACATTTCCTAATTGAAGAGCACTGTCTACGTGTATGAGCCAAGACCATGTGGATACGATTATAATGAACATTTCATGGTGCTTTATCTCACATAGCCGATTCTCCCTGGGACTCCAGCATGGACAACCAACGGTCAGAAACGGAAGTACCTGACAATGATGTTCGCTTTTCACGTGGGGAGGGACAGAGGAAAGCCGGGCTGCACTCTTTCCATGTATATCTGCTACCAAAGGGCAACTGCTCTTCAATTTACTTCCCATCTCAGTTTATAATCCCACCATTCTTAGCCCCAGATTCCACCTGAGGGCCCAAACCACCTCAAATCAAAACAAACCCTTGGAAAAGTGCCAGTGCATCCGAGGGAAGGCCATGGGGTCGGGGTGTTTGCTTGCTTCCAGGGCTGACCCTGACCAACTGCAGAATAGGAGGCTGCCTGCCGGCTGGATTTTAGGAGCAAATACTCCAGGCACTATTTTCTCTGTTTAAGTAGGGTTAAATTCCTTTAATGAGTTTTAAAATTTTGATTTCACAGTTGGTGATTGGGGTCAGATGCAAATATCTCATGGAGAGGTAATTCACTTCAAGTCGCGTTAAGTTCTTGCCCTAACCCAGGCACAGAGCTCGACCTACTGCTCTAAGAGCCTGCAGGAGAAGGAAACTGCTGTGTGTTTATTCACACGAGCTGTAAATGAGCGAGTGCAGTGTTGGGTGCTAGGGAAGACGGAGATGACTGAGAACAGCAGAGCCTGGGAGGAGAGGAAAGCTGTGTAACAGGAAGACCTGCCTCATCCTGGAGCCTTCTCCCCCTTCCACGCCACACACAGCCTTGGGGGCGCATTTCTTCAGGATACGTTTGGAAAGAGGAGGGATCATCTTTGGTTTTCCTGAGTTATCTTCCCAGCAGTGGTGCCTCTATATCCCACGTTTCCTCCACTGCTCCCAGCTCTGCCAGTTGTACCTGAAACCCCTGATCAGTTCCCCCGGCCCACTGCCCTCTCTGCAAGGACCCAGTTAAGGGGTGACTGCGGGGAGGCCACACTCCTCTTCTATGCTCTGTCCTCTGATTCTCTGTGCCGCCGTCATATAGGCTGTGTCAGACTTTCCTGAAGGGTTGCAGTAATCGTGGGAAATTACAGCGCATGAGGGGGAACATTTTTACATGTGTGCTGTATATGCTAAAGCTGTCTTCATGGTATGCTTCATGACAAAATCACCAAGGAGTTAAGCACTTCACCTGAGGTCCACCTATGATGCTCTCCAGACCTCAGGACATAGCTGTTTGTCAGATCAGCCTCCACCATGCGACTCTCCAATCTCAAGTCTAGAAATCCCACTCCATACCTACAAGGGTCAGTCTCATCATAGGAGCCATCCCTCTCTTTGGCTGTCTGTTTCTCGAAATCTGAGTTATTAAATTCAGAATAACAAAGGGAGAGGCTATCGTGAGAACACATCCAGCATGACTATCTCTGCAAGTAATGCACACATATACCACGCACACATATACCACACTGCACACACACACACCACACACATATATACCACACACACACCATACACACATATCCCACACACCACACACACACACACACACAGAGGTCTATCGTACAAATAGCAATTCTCAGAAATTGTATCATCTAAAGTTTAAACAACTCAAGACACACACAGATAAGGATAAATATTTATCTAATTGTTTCATAATTTGCAAGTCTGCCTTTATCCAGTAGAGTTAGATTGTTCATTTCCTTTCTCTGTTCTTCCTTCTCCTTTTAAACTGTTACTCCAGCTTATGCCTGGATAGGAAACGTGTCCATATTTTTCATTGAAAACATTTGATGGCCACTTGCTTAGCCACCAAAGAAGCTTCCAGAGATTTGAAATTATTCTCAGCAGGCTTTCACTAAATTCTTAGCCAAGCGCCCTCCTACTTCTTCTGTGTAGGGGATTTTGAGATGGAGGAGGGCAGGAGGGTTGTCCTCTAGTCACAGGTGAAAGCAAAGGGAAGCCAGAAGTCCTAAAGACAAACTTGCTCGCACTCACCATTTTATCTAAGGATGGGCCTTTCCTATCTGTCAAGGGGTTGGAGGCAATCTTTTTCATTTTTTAACTCATTGCAGAGACTTGAACATCATCCCAGTTTCCTTCTAGTCATTCACGTTAGAAATATTATTTCTAGGGGCCAGCTCCATGGCCGAGTGGTTAAGTTCGTGCTCTGCTGTGGTGGCCCAGGGTTCGGATCCTGGGCACGGACATGGCACCGCTCGTCAGGCCACATTGAGGTGGTGTCCCACATCCCACAACTAGAAGGGTCTGCAACTAAGATATACAACTATGTACGGGGGGGTTTGAGGAGATAAAGCAGAGAGAAAAAAAAGAAATATTATTTCTAATAATTTAAATCCTAACAACATTCCAAAGCAAAACAACTTTGACGCATAACAATGGTGTTCTACCTGAAGGGAAAGAAACATACATTCATTGAATGCCATAGATGTGCCAGGGCTTCTCACGTTATTTTATTAATACGCAAATGCCTACCTGACCTCTCCCCTTGACTATCTAATAGAACATCTCCTGGTCTTCCCTCCTAAACCTGCTCTTGTCATCATCTTCCCCACCTCAGTGGAAGATAATTCCATCCTTCCAGCTACTCAAGCCAAAGACTTTGGAGTCACCCTTAATTCTTCTACTTCTCACATCCGACCTAGCAATAAATCCTTTTGTTTTACTTTTAAATATACCACGAATCAGACTGTTTCTTAACACCTCCTCCCCTGGTCCAAGCCCCAGATTATGGCGATAGAATCCCAGCTGATTTCCTGCTTTTGCCTCTGCTCTTGCTTATCACTGCATCGAGCTAGAGTGAGACTTTTAACACTCAAGACAGATCATGTCAGGTTTCTCCTCGCCGGCTGAGAGCACATACAATCACCTATAAAGCCCCGATATAATTTGCCTCTTTTCACTGATCTCATCTCCTTACTCGGTTCTAGCCACACTGCCGTCTTTGCTGTTCCCTAAGCTCTCAACTCAGGGCCTTTGCACTTGCTGTTCCCTCTGTCTGGAACACTCTTCCCCTTCATGTCCTTCACATATTTGCTCAAATATCACTTTTTTCCATGAGGCTCTTCTTGACCACTCTGTTTAAAATGAAACTGCCCCATGCGTACACACACACGTACACACACCCAGGTACATATACATTTCATCACGATACCTGCCCTCATTACCTGCTTCATTTCTCTCCACAGCACTTGTCACCACCTGACATACAGTATATTTCATTTATTTGTTAGTTTTCTCCGTGTCTCTGCACTAGAATGAATTCACTAAAGAAGAGATTTTTGTTTTGCTGTTCACTGCTAGTATCTTGGTATCTAGGATAGCGTCTGGCACATAGCGTGTACTCTGTAATACTTATTAACCAAGTGAATTAATTCTTACAACAATGCCAGGAGTTGAATACTACATCTCACAGATGAAAAAAACACCACGAAAGCCACCACTACCAAGAGCAAACACAACCCCGCAAAACGGATGCAAAGAGGCTGAACAACTATCCAAATACTTTTTAAAATTCCCATTAATAAGAGACTGTTTAAATAATTTGTGGTATAACAAAATACTGGAATAATATGCAGCTGTAAAAAATACTGAAGACAATCTTTATATTCTGATATGGAATGATCTCCACAATATGTTGTTGAGTAAGGTATAGACATATCATATGTTATCACTCGTTTAAAAATCAGGAAAAAACCCTACATTCACTGGTGTATGCATAGCCTAATCTGGAAGAATACACAAGAAACACGATTACCATTGGAGACAGGAATGAGATGACTAGGGGTAGTTGTATGAGGGATCTTTTCTCTCCACGATGATTTGTACCTTGTAAAATTTGAGCCATCTGGATGTGTTACATAAAATAAAATATTAAACTATTTTTACATATTTTAAATACATAAATACATAAAATACAACATTAAAATAAAATAAATAAAATATCAAAAATAAAACAATCACTTGCTTAAAGTCAGGCACCTAGTAAGTGACAGTGACATTTAAATTCAGGACTGCCTGACTCAGAAACTGTGTTCTTTCCACTAGCCTACAATGCCCCATAGAGGAATATGGCAGAACCAATACATTCCATTTTTCTACTGGGTTGAATTCTTGAAAGTCGTCTCAAATATATAGAATGCAAAGGGATACTGACTTTTAGCAGGTCCTTCACTCGAGTGAATGTCAGTAATGTTAATGGCGTAGAGCACTAGTATCACGCCTTTCTTAGTCTGCTGAAATCATTTCTTTCCTCTCCATAGCTGCTGGCTAGCAGTCCCAGAAAGCACTGGTTTGCTAGCAAGTCCATTGCTGTGGGCGTTCATTGTACCTGTGACCATTATCCTCATCAGCAACATTGTTATATTTGTTATCATTGTGGTCAAAGTGCTGTGGAAGAACAACCAGAATCTGACAAGGTGAGATGCCCAGCGACTGGGGGCCGCCAGGCGGGACTTGTCTAATGCGTCAGACCGCACTGTAGTGCGTCCGCAGCTCCTAGAAGAGTGCTCAGGCTCCGGGATGGTGGCAAGGATACGTGGTTTGCAGGACAGATTTTCTCTCAAACTTTGTCTCAGAAGGCGGATCTTCTCTTCCTCCAACACCAACGCTACACTGTGGGTCTCCTGCATTACATAGCACACGTTTGTGCTCTATGAGAGCAGCTGAAAACTAAACCCAAAAACTTCAAGAAAAAAAATGTTTCCTCCCAATCCCAAATACTGAAGAAACCAGATTTGAATAATTAGGGAAATGAGACGGCTGTGAGGAGATGCTGGTGACTGTATTTTCATTTTAGAAACTAGTAGCTTTCAATTTTTTTAATTAGCTGCAAAAGTATAAAAATTGAGAGATTTCACTTAAAAATTGTATTTTCTCCTGAAAAAAGTCGGATTGTCTGGCAACACTGAGCCCACATTCCTTACAGATGGGGTGTGTGCTGTCTGGTTCATCAGTTCCAATGTGGACTACTCCTCTCCTTTCCATAACTTTTCTGACCCCAACAAGCATTGTCATTGTCATCCCTGGTACACAGAGAGAGCTCTCAGTTGGAGAGACAAAGAAAGAAACTATTAAACATACACACACACATGCACACACCCCCCATCTCCCACAGCACAGATTGTCTAGAATACAGTGTTAAGGAAGCTATGAGTTCAGGGTTAGTTCTAGAAGGTTCTGCTTAACCCAAGTAGATTTACTATCAGCACATCTATGAGCTTTCTTGGTCGCCAAATGGATCCTTTGGGTATGAACAGATGAGTGAAAACAACCATCCTTAGTTAGTGGGAATATAACCTTAAATACGTACTTTACTGATTAATAGTAAGTACTATCTTTCCTATATGAATGATAGTCCATATTGAAGGGAAATATGTGGAAAAGACTATCACCGATAATCATTCAAACCTATGTTTTATTAGCAACACAGAAAAACCTTGGCGAAATCTTCTTAGCCTAGTTGCAAATCAGGTTATATTTCCTTTACACAAAACAGTATCATTTTGGCCACAGACATTAGACAAATTTGTATTTCTAAGTTTTTGTTGATAGTTCATGGTTCTGAAATTGGCTGTTACAGTGAAGAATAGGTTATAATTTAGTTGTTTAACAAATTATCTTCCATGTATCAGTTAGCTTTTGCTACATAAGAAATCATCCCCAAATTTAAAGGATTAGAATGACAAATATTCATTATTGGTCATATGTTTGAGTGTTGGTCTGGTGGTTGTTCTGATCTTGGCTGGCTTGAACGCAAATGGATAACCTAGGATGACTCACTTTCATGCCCGGTGGTTGGTGGTTGGTGGTTGGTGGTTGGTTAGTCTTGAGTGGGAGCTGCTGAGTTGGGAAAGCTCATCTCTGCTCCATCTGATCTCTCACCTGGCCATTAGACTAGTCCAGGCTTCTTAACATAGTGGTTTCAGGGTTCCAAGGAGCAATAAGAGAAGGCAAGCTCTAATGAGCGAAATGCTTTCAAGCCTGTTTGTAGAGCAATTGCTGATGTTCCATTGGTCAAAGTAAGCCATGTGGCCAAGCCCAGATTCCAGGGATATGGACTTAGCATGAGAGGGAAGAAGCTAACTCTGCGCTTTCATAACTTTTCATTCTCATATCAACCTATGACGTGAGAAGGTCCCAGATGCCCCCAAAAAGAAATTTCTCAATGGCTGACCCAGTAGTAATAATCACTAGAATAAAATTTCGTTCAAAGAAAAAGTCAATTGTTTGTGAAATTTGCCTGCAATAGTATTTAAAGGACTGTTTATGCCTGAGCTTTTAAGCACATATCACTACATTTCTTAATAAAGCTTGCTAAATCAGATTTTATTCAGCGACATACGTCTAGCATTGTTTTTCCGCCTGAAGCATAATATCGTTAAATGAACAGCATATATGGCAGCTAAATACGTATTCTCAAGGGAAGGGTAACATTGATCCTAACATATAAGAACCTGAATGAACTCTATTTTCTTTCTTGCTTCCTCTCACCTAGCACGAAAAAGTCTTCATCCCTAAAGAAGATTCTGAGCACATTATCTATTGCAGTTGTTTTGGGAATTACCTGGATTCTGTCATACCTCATGCTAATTGAAGATGATGACATCAGGATCATCTTCAGCTACATATTCTGCCTTTTCAACACTACTCAGGTATGGTGTGCATTCGTCTGAAAGGAGCAGATCATGCAGGGGTGGCAATGATACCACCCTGGATCAAAGTCTTCACCCTTTAAAACTCCCTGAAGGTCATTGCTTAGTTACCTTCAGGAGACTCTGTTGTTAATACACTTTGAGGGAAGAGGAAGGAAAACTCTTTACCACTTACCGACTAAGTCCTTTCCTGGACTGGAGTTCATAGAATATAACTGCAATAGAGTCAGGCCACGTTCGTCCCTCTTCTCTGAGCAGAAAAGATTTTGTCAAGCAACTGGCTTTGGAAGCAGCTCCTTTCCTTCTCCCCCATGCAACAGGGTCGTGGCAGCTCCTCCCCATGGCCAGTGTGAGCAATGCTGCAGTATTGCTGGAACAGGGACCCCTGCCAGGGGGGCTGACATTTTTCTTTCTTTTTTCAAAATTTTATAAGATTATTTATATTATCTTTTTAAAAAAACTTCATTGAGGAATAGTTGACAAATAGAATTGTATAAAGTGTGCAGTGTGATGATTTGATAGACACATACATTGTGGAATGATTACCAAGATCAGAATAACTAACACATCCATCACCTCACGTAGTTAACTTTATTTTGTGGTGAGAACACTTAATAGCAGTTTTCAAGTATATGATACCATATTATTAACTACAGTTGCCATGCGTTCCATTAGACCCTCAACTTATTCTTCATATAACAGAAAATTTGTACCCTTCGACCTACGTTATCCCATTTACCTCTCCCCCAGCCCCTGGCAACCACCATTCTATTCTCTATTTCTATGAAATTGAATTTTTTCCCCTAAGATTTCACATATAAGTGATACCATATGGTATTTATCTTTCTCTGTCTGGCTTATGTCACTTAGCATAATGCCCTCCAGGTTCATCCATTTTGTCGCAAATCACAGGGTTTGCTTCTTCTTTATGGCTGAATAATATTTGTGTGTGTGTGTGTGTGTGTACACACCACATATTTTTCTTTTTTCATTTGTCTGTCGAAGGACATTTAGCTTGTTTCTGTATCTTGGTTATTGTGAATAATGCTGCAATGAACAGGGATGTGTAGATATCTCTTTGAGATACTGATTTCAATTCCTACAGATATACACCCAGGAGTGGGATTGATGGATTGTATGGTAGTTCAATTTTTAAGTGTTTGAGAAACCACGATTCTGTTTTCCATAATGACTGTGCCAATTTCCAGTCTCACCAGTGGTATATAAGGGTTCCCTTTTCTCCACATCCTCACCAATATTTTTTATCTCCTTTTTTCTCAATTATTTTATTAAGGGGATAATAGTTTATAACATTGCGTAATTTCAGGTATACATTATTATCAGTTTCTGTATAGACTGCATTGTGCTCATGACTAATAGTCTAATTTTTATCTGTCACCATATATATGTGCCCTTGTACTCCTTTTGCCCACCCCTCAACCCCCTTCCCCTCTGGTAACAACTAATCTGTTTTCTTTATCCATGTGTTTATCTTCTACATATGAGTGAAATCATGCATCGTCTTTCTCTGTCTGGCTTGTTTCACTTAACATAATACGCTCAAGGTTTATCCATAGTGTTGCAAATGGCACGATTTTGTCATTTTTATGGCTGAGTAGTATTCCAGTGTGTGTGTGTGTGTGTGTGTGTGTACATATATACACACCACATCTTCTTTATCCACTCATCAGTTGATGGGCACTTGGACTGCTTCCATGTCTTCTTTTTATCTCTTTTTGATAATAGCCATCCTAACAGGTGTGAGGTGATATCTCACACCTGTTATTGTGGTTTTGATTTGCATTTCCCAGATGATTAATGATGTTGAGCACCTTTTCATGTATGTATTGGCCATTTGTATGTCTTCTTTTGAAAAATGTCCACTGAGGTTCTTTACCCATTTTTTTGTTGGATTATTTGATTTTTTGTTATGGAGTTGTATGAGTTCCTGATATATTTTGGATATTAACTCCTTATCAGATATATGGCTTGTGCATATTTTCTCTCATTCTGTAGGTTGCCTTTTCAATTTATTGTTTCCTTTGCTATGCAGGAGCTCTTTAGTTTGACGTAGTTCTGTTTGTTTATTTTGTCTTTTGCCTGTGCTTTTGGTGTCTTATCCAAGAAACCATTGCCAACACCAATGTCAAGGATCTTTTTCCTTATGTTTTCTTCTGGGAGTTTTATGGTTTCAGGTCTTACTCTTTGATTCATTTCAAGTTAATTTTGTGAGAGGTGTAAGACAGGGGTCCAGTTTCAATCTTTTGCATGTGGATATACAGTTAGTTTTCCCAAAAACATTTACTGAAGAGACTGTCTTTCCCCATTGTGTGTTCTTGCTGCCCTTGTCAAAATTAGTTGACAGTATATACATGGGTTTATGTCTGGGCTCTCTATTCTGTTCCACTTGTCTATGTGCCTGTTTTTATGCCAGTACCATACTGTTTGGATTACATACTTTATCTTGAAATCAGGAAGTGTAATGTCTCCAGCTTTGTTCTTTCTTAGGATTGGCTATTCAGGGTCTTTTGTAGTTCCATACAAATTTTAGGATAGTTTTTCCTATATCTGTGAAAAATGCCATTGGAGTTTTGATAGAGATTGCACTGAGTCTCTAGATTGCTTTGAGTAGTATGGACATTTTCACAATATTAATTTTTCCAATATAAGAGCATGAGATATCTATTTACTTGTGTCTTCTTCAATCTCTTTCATCAATGTTATATAGTTTTCAGTGTACAAGTTCTTCACCTCCTTGGTTAAATTTATTTCTAAGTTTTTATTGTTTTTGATGCTATTGTAAATGGGATTGATTTCTTAATGTCTCTTTCAGATAGTTTGTAGTTAGTGTACAGAAATGGAACTGATTTCTGTATTTTTTTTTTATCCTGCAACTTTCCTGAATTCATTTATTAGTTCTGTTTTTTTGGTGGCATCTTTTAGGCTTTCTATATATAAGATCACATCATCTGCAAACAGAGATAATTTGACTTCTTTCTTTTTGATTTGGATGCCCTTATTTATTTTTCTTGCCTAATTGCTCTGGCTAGGACTCACAGTACTATGTTAAAATAGAAGTGGCAAGAGTGTGCACCTTTGTCTTGTTCTTGTTTTAGAGGAAAGGCTTTTAACTTTTCACCATTGAGTCTAATAACAGTTGTGGGTTTGTCATATGTGGTCTTTGTTGTGTTGAGAAATATGCCTTCTATGCATAATTTGTTGAGAGTTTTTCTCACGAACAGATGTTGCGTTTTGTCAAATGCTTTTCCTACATCTATTGAAATGATCATGATTTTTACCCTTCTTTCTGTTAATGTGGTGATTCACATTTATTGATTTGCATATGCTGAACCATTCTTGCTCCCAGGGATGAATCCCACTGGATCATGGTGTATGATCCTTTTAGTGTATTGTTGAATTCAGTTCGCTAATATTTTGTTGAGGATTTTTGCATCTATGTTCATCAGGGATATCGGCCTGCAATTTTCTTTTCTTGTGGTGTCTTTGTCTGGCTTCAGTAAATGTTATTCTCCTAAAATGAATTTGGAAGCTTTCCTTCCTTTTCAGTTTTTTGGAAGAGTTTGAGAAGGATTGGTCTCTCTTTTACTAGCCCAGCAGGTCAGTGGTTACAAGGTGAGCACAGCAAGTCGGTGGTCAGTAGGTCAGTGGTCATGAGATGAGTTAAAGCAGGTTGGTATTTAATCCTTAGTTTCTGGGAAGAAATGCTTATCCTTAAAGAAATTCTGATATAGGGGAGGCAACATCCCTATCTTTAAGGGCATCATTCTTGGCTTTGGGACATTGTAAATGTTTAAAGCAGATGTACAATGCATGCTCAACAAACCACATCAGAGCTTTCTGGAAAAACAAGGTCAGGCCAAATTAGTTTTAAACCAAATGGCTTCCTCATATATTCCAACATACATTGTTGTTTTTTGTTTATTCATCATCACAAAGGATATTAATAAAGAATTAACAGGGGCCTCTTAGATGCTATAATACACTTTACAATATCTTTTCATTACAGTTACAAGTAAAAGGCAGTGTAGCATATTGGATAAAGGAGTTTTGGAGCCAAACGTATGAGTTCAACTCCAGACTCTACTGATTGCTGGTTGGATAATCTTAGGCAAGTTACTTGGTTTATCTGAGCTATAGTTTCCTCATCTGTTACTCTTATTCTATAGGGTTGATGTTAGGATAAATGAGAAGGATTAGAGTCAGCCCCAGTGGCCTAGTGGTTAAGTTTGGCATGCTCTGCTTCAGCAGCCAGGGTTTAGTTCCTGGGCGCAGAGCCACACCACTCATCTGTCAGTGGCTGTGCTGCAGTGGTGGCTCACATAAAAAGAAAAAAGGAATATTGGCAACTGATGTTAGCTCAGGGTGAATCTTCCTCAGCAAAAAAATAAAATCAAAATAAATGAGAAGGATTAAATGATGGAGATTAAATGAAAAACAAGTACCTGATTTCAATAAGTTGTATTTTTTTATGTTAAAAATGTATAGAAAATAGTACACAGTCTTTTGTGTGTTGATTCCTCATGCACATCTGGTCTTCCTATGTAAAGTACAGAAAAGCAATGAATAGGAGTTCTTAAAAAAATTTTTTTGTCTTTAAATGCACTAAATTTCTAATTTTGTTACTAAAACTCCAAGAAATGTAGAATCATAGGATGTTAGAACTGGAAGAAGAATTAGGTAACCCATAGTCAATCTGCCCCTTTAGAAAATTGAAGATAAGAGATGTTAGGAGAAGAGCAAAGTTACTGTGGTATACTAAAAAATAAATATCTGGTCTTTGTCCTCAGTTCCTGGTACATAACTCCTAAAATCCTTGGAATCTCTGGAGTGATAGGAGTGTCTTTTGTATGCTAATGAATGACTGGTGGCTGGGACCCCCAGATAGCTTCAGGAGGGAGGCTGGTAGCCAGGAACACAAAGCCTTGTTTAGAAGTTTGGAACTTCCAGTCCCACCTCCAATCTCCAGGAAGGGGAGAAGGGCTGAAGATTGAGTCAATCATCAATGGCACTGATTTTGTCAATCATGCCTATGTAATGAAACCTCCACAAAAACCCCTAAATGAAGGAGTTTGCAGAGTTTGCAGGTTGGTGAACACATGGGGGTGCTGGGAGAGTGACACACCTGGAGAGGGCATGGAAGCTCCATCCTCTTCCCCATACCTTGCCCTCTGACCTCTTCCATTTGGCTGTTCCTGAGTTGTATCCTTTACAACAAATTGATGGTAGTGAGTAAAGCTATTTCTTGAGTTCTGTGGGTTGTAGGAAATTATCACACCTGAAGAGAGAGGCAGGTTGTGGGAGCCCCTAACAGTGTAGCCAGGTGGGACAGAAATGTGGATCACTTGGGGACCCAATACTTGTGACTGCCATCTGAAGTGAGGGTAACCACTCTGGGTAGTTAGTGTCCGAATTGAATTGAATGGTAGGACATCCAGTTCGTGTCAGAATTGGTTGGTGTCAGGAGGGAAAAAAGCTTCTCAGTTACACAACCGACATGTGACACACCAGGACCTGAACTCAGGTCTTCTAACTCTGCTACTTACCTGTATTACTTCATACACGAGATGAATGTTGCCTCAACCGTCTTAGACAAAAAAGTGGGCAGCAGCTGCTGACTCGTAAACTCACACTGGGGAGTTGTGCATGATGAGAAGAGTGGGTGGCCCTTCTCTGAAATACAATCTCTTCCCTGATTCTCTGAGATCTCAACACTTACCTAACATTAAGCTTTCATTCTATCTCCCAGGGATTGCAAATTTTTATCGTCTACACTGTCAGAACAAAAATCTTCCAGAGCGAAGCTTCCAAAGTGTTGAAGTCGCTGTCATCGTCCACTGGGACAGTGAAGTCTCTGCCACCAATGATCCCACTGAGGCTGCGTGTCAGGATGTATAACATGCTCAGGTCATTGCCAGCCCTAAATGAGCGCTTTAGGCTGCTGGAGCCATCTCTAGTTAACAATGAAACGACACTCTCTGAAAGTGACCAAGAAAACCCAAGCATCTAGACCGTAAAACTGTTACCCTTTGTGGTCCTCTTTTATTCAACGCATGTGAGTTTTGTGTTTTCTATTTCCTTCCTTTATTACCGAGGCTTCCCAGAAATTCTCCCTCAATATATTTTGCTCAAGGTTAAGAATCAGGTAAGACTTGTTGTTTATTATCATCAGGGATAATGGATTTGGTAATTTTTCTATTATTCAATAGATTCTTACCCAAATGAGGTGAAGAATTCCACCCAGCATTCAAGATAACTCAAGATTATCATTGCTCCTTATATCATAAAGTCTATGTGACAAACTTTAATAAAAATGTAGAACCTAAACCAATTCTTTTACTAAAAAGGACATGAAGAGAAAAATTTACCTTCCAGAACAAAATGAACACTGTGAGGAATTGCTTGTATGTATCATACTTTTGCTCTCTGAATATTTTAAATTTGTATGTGCTCATGGTTTTATTTCCAACTAAGAATTTTGCAGCAATTTAACCTGGAAAGGGATATTTTTTTCTGTTAAAAAAAAATAAAAGCAGGTTTTGTGACCAGAGGAATTGGCTGTATGGGAAATGGGCAGTGAGACGTAGAAAGATCAGCTGGCTGGTTACTAAACCCTCTGATTATTTCTTTACAGTTCTTGATACATCTGTCCTTTTATTGATGAAATGACACTGAGACTCAAAAAATGAAAAGTTTGTCACAATCACCCCTTGTGGCTTTTAAAAGATCTAAGCGCTCACGGAATTTCAAACACTTGAATGATGAATGGCTTCCTAAATAAAAAATGACCTTCACTGGGGTGGGGAGCACTCCCACTGGACTGAGGAGGCAAAGCCTTTGAATTGCAGTGTCTGTTTTGTCATGAATTAGGCAGCTGCCGTGAGTGCCCTGAACTAAGGGACTAACAAATGTCACGTGAGCTGTGGCAGAGGCTCCTCACCACACCCTCAAGAACATGTGCTTTTTTGAAGAAAGCTTGTAAACGACTGTTGGATTCCTAGGCAAGCCAAGAGCCTATTTCATCTGCAGTGTACTTGAGACCTTACAGGATAACGGAAAAAAGTAAAGGGGAGATCAAGAAGAAAGGCAGCCCTCAGAGGTCAGTGTTTTCAGTGTGCTATAGTGCTCTTCCTGGATAGGGGCTGGACACTGGGAGAATTACAAGATGTGCTGTCTACTCTATGTCCTCAAATTTACATTCAGGTGAAAATAAACCTTAAGTAAGGGCCACCTTAAACGTGGAAAAAAAAGTCACCAAAGAGCCACATTCAGCCTGAGGGTGGAGTACACGTGTTCCTTGGGAATGTTAGTTTTCTTTGCACTTTTTTCAGCACTCTTGGGGGTATAGCAACTAAAATTCCACAGAATGTTCCTGGAATGGCTGTACCCTCAACGTGCAGCTCCATGTGTGTGTCACGGAGGCCACATCAGGCGGGCATTGATGTTCCCCTACCTACCCCAAAATGCTGCCACTCAGAAAGAGTACTATTGATTTAAGCCTTTACCTCCTGCACTCGTCGGGAATTTGTTAGTTTAATGTTAGAGAGCCAACTCAAATTAGGTCAAAGGTCAAAGAGAATTTAATGACTCAATTAATTGTAAAGTCCAAAGGCCAGTGGGTTTTAGGTAGGGTGACTGCATGTTCTGGTTGCCTGGGCCAGTCCTAATTTGTGCTGCTGTCCTGACTTCAGTATTACTAGCAGCCTCTTTTACTCTCAAAAGTGTCCTGGTTTGGGACACAAAATATATGATAATGCTGACTTTAAGTCTAGAGTTCAAATGCAAGTAGTTCAAAGAATGTGTCAAGATTCTTTTTCTCTCCCCGTTTCCTGGCTCTTTGTGCTTCTGTGTTGGCTTCATTCTCAAATTGGGATCACATGGCTGGAAACTGGCCATTGGCTTCCCCTTCCTCCTGCCCTGCAACCTCCCATCGGTGTGTCCCATTGGCTGCAGCAAGCCAGAGCCAGTTGAGCAGGAACCTGGGGGGCTCGGTCCCCTGTGATAAAGAGCAGAGCAGGGGCAGGGAGAGTAAAGGACCAAGGGCCTGGCACACTCTGCTTGGTCATGTGCCCACAGGCACTGTGTTCAGAGAATATTGGTCCAGCCTGGATCACATACTTACCGTGAAGTGGAGGGATGGGGGCAACCTGATGGACAGGATGTCCTGGACAGTTACACTAAGGATGGGAAGCTGGCAGCAAAACGTTAAGGTGCTTCCACTACATCTCCTGACATAATACAAATACCTTCCTGGAAAAAGAACCACTTTAAGGCCCATCTATCATTTCTCTTACTCTGAGGAAGCCTATTAGATGCTTGTCTGCAGAGGGTTTGAATGGGGTGAGTAAGAAGAGCAAGAAATTATTTGGCACCTTGGAAGTTGAGGAGCAAGGATGGGGACTAGGAGTAGAAGGGTGACTTACTTAAAAAGAAAATTGCAGGACAAGGAGAATCAGAGTACTGCAGAGCTGGGTTTCCCGATGTTGTGTGGGACTACCTTTCTGTGCTTCTGATTTATTTTGTGTGTTGTTTCCTACAGCCTTGTTGGTTGTGGCAGCACATGTAGTGTCCTTGGGCAATTTGGATTTCCTTTCCTGGGTCTTAACTGACAGGTCAGAGCTCCCTGTTTATTGTCAGAGTCTGGACTGCTTTTTCTCCTATTCTTCCCATTTTGAAGTTTATCTTGCCTCTTTTTTTCTGTTGCCAACAAGGGGAGATCATTCTCAAGCTCACTGCTGTCAGTTTGTCTTTGCCTCTTTCAGAAGAGCTTGGCATTCTTTGCAAACATTTGGGAAACCTGAGCCAAAAGTGCCAGCTGAGTCATCCCAGCCTGTCAACCCCTGGAGCTCTCTGGTTCTGTGGAAACCCCTTAATGGGATGCTGGGACCTGCAGTACCTAGCTCCTCAGGTGATGTCCAAGACAGAGCCATGGGATTTGGTGCACTCTGGGGACGAGGTGGGGAGGGGAGCAAGGAGCCTAAGAGGAAACTGCCTTCTATTCCTATTGACAGTTTTAAAACACTGTGCTAACTGTGTTATAACAACTTTAGAAGATATTCACCAAATACAATTTTTAAAAAAGCAAAACTATAATTCTCTAACCTATCAATAGTCTGTTTACCCATGTTCCTTTACGCTCTTTGTTTGACTACATAAGAATTTAAATAACTGTAATTATCGTAAATGAAATTTTATTCTGATTTTCACCTGCAATTACCCATTTATGCAGTGCTTATAATAATTAATGATTGCATAACATAGCATAAGATACTAAGTTGTTCTATTATTGGATATCTGTATCATTTCAATTTTAATATTGTAGTGACACAAGATAAATAAACTGGTACATATATATTTCCTTTCTTCCTAATTATTTCCCTAAGATAAACTCTCAGGATTAGGATAAAATGTGTCAAAAGGTATAGACATTTGTTTAGCTTCCTTGTATATATTACTATATTCTTTGAAGATGTTGCTCTAATTTAAAACGTTACCGCCATTATACCATAAACATTTTTTATATACTTGTTTACTTTGGTATCTTATTTCTCAGTTATTTGTATGCGTTGTCCATTTACCAATTGAGCTATTGTTATTTTTTTCTCATAAATTTGTATGAGTTCTTTTCTATTATAGTTATTAGCCCTTTAATTATTGCATTTGTTGAAAATATTTTCCCCTGGTTTATTTTTTTCCCTCTCTTTAATATAATCAAATGCTCACTCTGCATTTGATTCAAAATATCCAAAAGATGTATAGAGCATTTAGCATTTTTTTGAGTTTATATATCCTTATACAGGCAGAGTATTTTTCATTTTGTGTTAAGGAATATGTTAGGTATTATATAGAAACTTCTAAAATGAAGAACAGGGGCATAAATATGCCAAGTGAGGCCAAATAAATCATGTACCACAGACACAGGACATCGCTAACCCTTCATTATATCCCACAGCAGTTGGGTGGGGTTCCATGTCAAAGTTATTTTTTCCTCTCAAATATGTTTCTGTCTCTTTGTGTTCATCCGCCTTTTCTTAAAAATAAAACACTAAACCTTGGAGAAGAGAGAAGTTTTATTAGCAACTACCTATTAATACACACAAAAAACCCAGAGATTCAAAGTAGTGTTACATAAGCATCATGTATCTTACTTTATTTACATATAGGTAACCTATTAAAATGTGTATTTGCAAAAAGTATATACAAGTTGCTAAAAAACTAAGTAAGGAAATCAGGAGGAAGGGAAAATAATCCTAGGAGCAAAAAGTAAGAAACCAGGGATGAGATTAGTACCCAAGAAGCACGTCATATGGTCTTGCATTGTTGCTAGGAGTGGGCTGCAGACCAGACCGTGAGCTTCCCCACACCCAATATAAATCGGGAGGCATGATCACATGAGTCACATATCTCTTAACAATTAAACAAACAAACAAACAAACAAACATTTCTTGGGAAAAACACAGTTATTCCATCACTACTTGAAATTGGCATTGATAGTTTTCTTGAAGATTTCCTCCTGGGTATATTACCAAATGAGAAGGCAACTATTCGGATCAACAGAAAGGCAATGGCACTTGGAAACACAACCTGTTCACATCCGTGCCTGCTGGTTTGCTGCATGAACACAGCAAACAGTCCTGTGTAAAGTTCGGTGCGACCACAAAGTCACACAGTACTGTGTATACACAGAGACACACATGTAATGCACCACAGGAAACTTCAGGGTCACAAGTGCATCACTCAAGACTATTTTAAAAAAATATTAAAGTGGTTTTCCTTAATTTTGGCTATTGGTGTTAGTTTTCTGTTTTGTCTGCTTTGGTAGGGGGCTTGCTTTTGTTTTTTCCTTTTAAAATTAATTTTATTGATATATAATTTACCTGCAATAAAATGCATCCAGTTTAGGGGGCAGCCCAGTGGCATAGTGGTTAAGATCAGCATACTCTGCTTCAGTGGCCCAGGTTTGTGGGTTTGAATCCTGGGTGCAGACCTACACCAGTCACCAGCCATGCTGTGGCAGCAACCCACATACAGAATAGAGGAAGCTGGGCACAGATGTTAGCTCAGGGCCACTCTTCCTCAAGTAAAAGGAGGAAGATTGACAACAGGTGTTAGCTTAGGGTCACTCTTCCTCTCCAAAAAAAAGCTTCCAGTTTAAGTGTAAAATTAGATGAGTTTTAACAAATGTATACACCCCCTGAAACCACTGCCCTAAACAAGATGAAGAACATTTCCATCACCCTGTAACGTTCCTTTGAGCCCCTCCCTAGCTAAACCGTCCTCCATGCCCAGCCCCAGGCAACCACTGATCTGCTTTCTGTTATCATGTACTAGTTTTGCCTATTCTAGAATGCCATATAAATGGAATCGTGTCCTCTTTCGAGTCTGGCTTCTTTCACTCAGCATAATGTTTTTGGGATTTATCCATGTTGTTGTATCAGTGGTTGGCTTCTTTTTATTGCTGAGTAGAATTCAGTTGTTTGGGTAGACCACATTTTGTTTATGCTTTCACCAGTTGATGGGCATGTGGTCATTTCCAAGTTTTGAAACTATAAATAAAACTGATATAAACATTCTTATACAAGCCTTTGTGTGGTTTTCTTTTCTCTAGCAGTAGAATTGCTGAGTCATAGAGTAAGTGTATATTTAACTTTATAAGAAATTGCTAAACCATTTTCCAAAGTGGTTGAACCATTTTATACTCCCAAAAGCAATTTATGAACTTTGGAGTTAGTTTTTCAAGTCCTGATTTGTGAAATATTTCAAAAAGTAGAAATAGGTTACAAATCCGTTTTGCGAGCTATTGATCATGTTTCTGAAAAATCCCATTGCTTAATATGTTAACTTTTTAACAAAGAAGAAGAAAAAAATAAAAGCAAAGCAGAGTGGTGTGATCTAATGCTGTTTTCTCTTACAACTATAATTCCCAGGGAACCAGGGTCTGCTTCTTATCTTCTTCCAGGAGAGCTTTGTTACACGTGGAAGTATGACATTGATAATTTGCTGAACTTTGATATAAGCTGCTGTGAAACCATAATGTAACAGTTGAGGCCCTCTGGACCTTTGCAATAACAGGAAAAGAAGACTATTTTTTTCCGGCTGCAGTACTTACCAAGCAACTGCAGATGAAGGAAGCATTCTGAACTAGGAGTTCTGTGACGTGAGGCAGACATTGGCCTCTGGAGGCATAAGCTTGAGGCTCCACCCTTGTAAAGGTATGGGTAGCACCAGGTGAAGTCTAGATTCCTGACCAGCTCTAAAATTGTGTGACTCGAAATGCAGGCTGAAATTATTTTTAAATTAACTTAAGATATTTTTCCCACCTAAGTATCACATGAGTATATTATCCTTAAAAAGAGAAAGTAAATTAGAGCATGCCAGATACAGCCAAATTCCCCTTTGACCAATTCCTACCAAACCCAGGCCCCACCTCTCGTCTTCCTTCCCCTTCTCCCCACAGTTAACCATTGTGATAAGTTTGGTGTGTATCTTTCCAGATTTTAAGAACTACATACAAACAAAATTATATACACATGGAAATTCATAGTCTTGTGTGTGTGCTTTTATTCCTTCTTTTACATAAATGGCATAGGGAACTGATTCAGAGGTCCCCAAGACCACCCCCAGGGTCAATGATTCACTAGGGGCTCTCATAGGATTCAGAATAAAGCTGTACTCATGGCTCTGATTTATTACAGCAAAACTATATAAAGCAAAATTAGCAAAGGAAAAAGTCCCATGGGGCGAAGTCCAGAGGAAAAGAGGCCCACACTTCCAAAAGTTCTCTTCCAGTCCAGGCACACAGGATGTGCTTAACTCCTCCAGCAATGAATTGTGACGACACATGTGAAATGTTGCCTACCAGGGAAGCTCATCAGAGACTCAGTGCCCAGTGTTTCTATTTGGGGCTGGTCACAAAGGCACCCTCTGCCTGGCATGTACCAAAAATTCCAGAGTCCCAGGAAGCAAGCAACTGTTCAGCATAAACCACATTGTTTGTACAGACGGTTTGGGCACAGTGCACCATTCTTATTAAAGGATGGTGGGTATGCTCCCAAAATCCAGGTTCCCAGACACCAGGCCCAGGCCAACCCTGCAAGCAGGGCTTTGTAAGGATTGTGGTCTCGGGCTGCCAGATTAACTCTCTCTGCACAGTAACAACTTTCTGAAACTTGCTTTCTTCACTCAGTAAGGTGATTTTGAGGTCTAACTGTATGTGTGTAAGTTTCTTTTAATTGCTCCATAGTCTTTTACTTGAAAATAACACATTAATGGGTATCTGTTTTCTCATGTGCAAAGGTTTCTCTGGTACCGCAGAAATAGAACTGCTGGGTCATATAGGGTTGGGTACTTTAGATGTTGATAAATATTCCCATACCACCCTTTAAATAGTTTGTAGCAACTTATGCCCCCACAACAGAGTATAAATGTCTACTTTGCCATACCCTTTTCTATAAAGTATTATGAACCTTTGATTTTTATCAAACTAAGACGTGAAAAATAGCATCTCATTGTGGTTTTACTTTGCATCTTTTATTATCAGTGAGTTTTTCTTCATTGAAATGGCTTTTTGAGAATGGCCTGTTTAACTATGCATTTGTATGGAGGGACTGAAAGCAGGGTCATTGGCAGAAAGATTAGAGATGGAGAGCCTCCAAGTACCCAGAGTTTGATCTGACATGCTTGGTTTCTAGAGTCTGACATCTGGGTTTCTTAAAAGAGCTGAAAAAATCTACCGTTAATCAAACAAAAAGTTGTAAGATCTCCATGTACATCTTGTGGCATTAGCCTTTCAACCTAAACTCTGACAGAGTGCAAAGCAGTAACTCAGCTCTGTCTCCAGGAGACGTAAAGAAAGAAAAGAGAACAATTTCAAATTACTCAGAGATAAAATCCTATACTGCTAGGGAGCTAGGAACTCCCCAGTGATGGCTGCTTCCTGTTTCTGGAAGCTTGCCCTATAAAATGGTGGGGAAATTAGTTTTCATTCCTTCGTTCGATAAATATGTATTGACTATTTAGGAGATGCCAGCCTCTAGAGATACAAAATCTAGGAAGAACTGCCTTCAAGGAGCAATTTCCCTAAAGAACGGTTGGACATAGAGCCCCATGGCAAGGCAAAAACATTTTAGGGTCTCAGTGGATGTGTAGCTGGCAGGACAGACTGAACTGTTTTGCTTAGCTGATGCTAAGAATGACTCGCAGGTACACAGTAAGAAGATCACTCTTTTCTCCTTTGTTCTTTCTGCGTGGGGTGGCAGCTTCCTTTGTTTACACAAACAGATCGTTATGTTTGGCCAATGGAGGGGAGGCTGACTGACCAACTGGTCCCTATTTGGCCCTCCTGAGTTCACCTTTCTGTCTGGCCTCCTCTTAGTTAGCCGATTGCCTCCACAACACAGCTGATTCTCAGGGAAAGACATAACTTCTCCTTTGAAAATCCCACCCAAGGAGGAACTTACATCCTTTCTTTGGTTCCCCTGAGGGTAGCTG